CTTTCTCCCCCCTCTCCCCCTGGAACACAGTATGAATGATTTAGACGCTTCAATGGAGACAATCAGAGCGCTGTATGAAATGTCAACATTACTATATCAACTATGCACTTATGGACAAAAAGAGGAGAGGAGGGGGAGGAGGGGAGAGGAGGAGAGGTGAGGAGAGGAGAGAGAGGAGAGAAGAGGGGAAAGAAGAGGGGTGAGAGAAGGTAGGGGAGCAGAGGTGAGAAGAGGGGAGAAGACAGGGGGAAGGAGAGGAGAGGAAGAGAGGTGAGGAGATAGGAGAGAGAAGGGAGAGGAGGGAGGAGAGAGGAGGCGATGGGAGAGGAGATGAGAGAGGAGAGAGGAGGATGAAGAGGTGAAAAAAGAGTGGACAGGGGGAGGAAGAGAGGTGAGGAGAGAGAAAGGAGAGAAGGGAGAGAGGAGGTGATGGGAAAGGAGGTGAGAGAGGAGAGGAGAGGAGGAAGAAGAAGGAAAAGAAGAAGGGAGAGAGTTAGGGGAGTAGAGGTGAGAAGAGAGGACAAGGGGAAGGAGAGGAAGAGAGGAGAGGAGAGAGGATTGAGGAGAATATGGGAGATGAGATGAGAGAGGAGGGAGAGGAAAGCATAGAAGAGGAGAGAGAGGAAAGAGGAGGACAGATGATAGAGGAGAGGAGGAGAGAGGAAAGGAGGTGTTGCGCTCACTGGTTTTCCTGGGAGTCCAGCTCTTCCTGGAGTGCCTGGTTTCCCACCGTCTCCTTTCTCTCCGTTTTCACCCGGTTCGCCCTGAATATGAAGAGGAGGGGTATTGTAATTGTGTGTATGTGTGTGTGTGTGTGTGTGTGCGTGTGTGTGTGCGTGTGTATGTGTGTGTGTGTGTGTGTGTGTGGTTTGGATATGGTGGTAGGAAGGCCTCAAAAGAATGTTGAGATGACGTGTGCGGGGTATGTGCTCTCCAAGCCCACATTCTCAATTGTCTCAAATCAAATCAAACCAGGGGCACCATGCCACGGCGCTATCTCAATTAAGCCCAATAGGGAAGCGCTCAGGGATTAAGTTTTGTTCTAACTCCTCGAGCTCAATAATCTTGGGGAAACTCGAGCTTGCCTTAGCAACCATCTTACCAACACATCTGTCTCTGTTACGGCGCAAAGCTAAGGCTGTTGGTACAAATGCCCATATTAAGAAATCAACTATAGCTAGCTTAAATTCAAATAATCCTCTTCCGCATTGGGGCTAACACTATGGTGACGTCACAATCGGCCGGTCCACTCCTAATATACAGTCTAGAGTTTGTCCGAGCGGTGATGCCAACTGTAAACTGTGCTACTTCAAAGTCTGTTTTGGTCCGGGGCTTTGGTGGGAGCACAATGACAGGGATAACACGTATGAAGATCGATCCCTTCTTTCATTACTGAGAGCAGAACAGAGATGTGACGTTCGTACCTTTTCTCCCGGTTTTCCGGCGAGTCCCGGAGGTCCCTAAAAACACAGAATGTTAATGTATGTGGGAGAGGAGCGTGAGGAGCGGGGCCTCAGGTTTGGAGCCGGGCTTTTGCTGACAGGTGGCAGGAGAAGGTTGCTTGAATAAAAGATTATGTTTCCCGAGTCAGTGGGATCAGTCTGCAGCTGAGAGCGTTATGTTTTCAGGAGTGGAGTTGACAAGACAAAAATACATAAAAGTAAAGTCTAAATGTGAGCGACTACATTATGGAGACGTTGGAACAGAATCGGACAGAACTGGGCCGTGAAGCTCCTAATCATTAAAGGACAACTAAACAAATCAGCTTTTAACTCATAAACTGTTAAAAGCTGTTTATGAGTTAAAACTGGCTCAGTTGGTAGAGCATTGGCCTTTGAGCCTGGACGTCGTGGGTTCGAGCCCACCGTGAGACCTTCTCCAGCGACATTTCTTTGACATTAAAGTGCAAATTAGATATAATCTTATTTTTGAGCCTAATAATGTTTGTGTGGCGCCCTCTCTACATTTCCGGTGGAACTACATTCGAATTTGGGGCCTGTCCACTCTATTGGTGCTGGAGTGCAAAGTGACGTTGCTTTGTGCAGCGTAACGTCCGTCTCTCTGCGCCTGTGGTAGAAAAGCAGCCAAGTCTCACACACGCCATTGTAGCGAGTATTCTGGCGATATCTAGTAGTTTAAAATTAAATGACATCATCAGATGAGAGCCACTACTGCGGAGAGGATTCTGTGGCTTAGGTTCAGCTGTCTAGATATACAATCATCTTAGTGAGTGTAAACAAGGGGGGAATGAGAATTTCTGGTGTGTAAACTATTGCAAGGCAGCTCTCCATCACAGCCCAGACCACGCCCAACTCTAAGCCCCCCCTTCTTGTCCCCTGGTCCTCCAGAATATTATCAAATGTCCATGACGGCAAAGTAATGGTGGGCACTATGTTTAAATACAGAGCAGATGTTAAAAAGATTGGCTTTATTCTTAAAAAGAAATAACAATTTGGAAAAGAGAGAAAACTCCTCAGTTCTGGTTTGCAAGCTGGATCTACAGACAGAGTCCTGGATCTAAAACCTCAACCTGGATCTACTTTCTCAGTCTTGGATCTTACAACCTCACAGTGTAAGACCTGGATCTAGAGCCTTTTTCAACTCATTCCAAGTAAATGTGAGAAGAAAGAGCATTATTTTTAAATGAATTATTAAAAGATCAAAACCACCACTGGCCAAAATAAGGACCCGCATCTCCGAAAACTGATATTGTAGGACTCACGCGAGCTCCTGGTTCTCCTTTCGCTCCTCCTCCTCCGCCTCCTCCTCCTCCCGATCCAGGCTCACCCTAAAAGGGGCAGTCATTTTGTATCTTTAGAAACAGTAAAAACATTAGATTTAATTATTAAACTGTTCCGATACACACTTTTAATCCTGGCTCTCCTTGCTCTCCCTTCACCCCATCCAGACCAGGCAACCCCCGAGTCCCCTGTGATAAAGAGGCAATGACTATATTAAAACAAACACAATACCAGCAATAATAAAAGTTCTAAATCTACTCACAAATGAAAACTAACCCAAACCCAACTTTTTACACTTTTCCCAGAAAAATTCTACCACACAGAGCTCACCTGTTCTCCTTTCTTTCCAAGCAAACCTTGAATCTGCAAAGAAAATCAGCAAAATCAAACTAGGCGACAACTGCATAATTATTAACATTAAAAACACAATATTAGCAGCTGAGTGTGGTGAGATAGAGATAGATAGAAGGGCGGTTTTCTTGGGTTAACTCACGCCTCGGCCTGGCTCCCCGGGCGTGCCGTCGTTCCCCTAGAAACACAAATTTAGCTTTTGTCACGATTTGAAACCTCAATCCTGGATCCACAGCCTCAGTCCTGGATCTACAGCCTCTGTCCTGGATCTACAGCCTCAGTCCTGGATCTACAGCCTCAGTCCTATATCTACAGCCTCAGTCCTGGATCTACAGCCTCAGTCCTGGATCTACAGCCTCAGTCCTGGATCTACAGCCTCAGTCCTGGATCTACAGCCTCAGTCCTGGATCTACAGCCTCAGTCTTGAATCTACAGCCTCAGTCCTGAATGTATGAGAGGGATTGTAACTGTGTATATTTTATGTATTTGTTTACTAACACTAGTAGTAACACAATACTCAGCACATTTCCGTCATCTATAGAATAAATTAAAGTAAAGTAGAATCCCTTTTGTGCATCTCACCTTTTCTCCGGCCGCTCCGCTGGGTCCCGGTAAACCCTGGTGACAAACAGCGAGATTCCTTCGTAAGTAATTTAAGCTTCTGAATCAAGCATAATAGTATGATATGTATTTTTCATTTCTTCTGTCTGATCCACTCACTCTTAACCCCTGGATCCCGGCTGGGCCTGGTTTGCCCGGAGGCCCCTGGAATTGCACCATTATTAAAACACAGACACAAAAGCCGTGGGGAAAGCAATATACTACGTGTGCATTATTCCACTGTGTGAGAGCAGAGCAAGGGCACTCACTTTATCACCAGTCTCTCCAGCTGGTCCTCGCTCACCCTGGAAAGGCAGAGAAAACATTTGGTCTTTAATGAGATTTTAGAGGGGAAAAGTATATGCACTGTTTATGAAATTAGACATAAACAGTAATCAGGTTGTTAGGAAAGCTCGTCCTTGTCTCTTCTTTCTGCGGAAACATAGAGAATTCCCCACAAACTTTAAGTTTTTAAGTTTGCTGGTTGGTTTTGAGACTGTAGAAAGGAGAGCTCCGCTCTGAGAGAGGACTGTGAGCTGCCTGTTCTGGAGTGTTGTCATGAATCCAGACTCTTAAATTCAGCTCTTAAAATAATCAATGACTCTTCTGGCCCCTGGAAAATCCATGTTCCAGCTTCTTCCCTCTGGCAGAAGATATCGTTCACTGAGATGCAAGACATCTCGTCATGCTAACTGCTTTTTTCCACAAGCTGTTGTCAGTTCGAACAAAGCACTTTAATGATCTTGCACTTTGATTGATTTCACACTGACAATTGTTTCTTTATGTAATGTGTCTTTTGCACATGTATTCCAATATGGTTTTACTGCATATGGCAAATTAACTGAAACTGAATCCGACAAATTGGCTCGTTCTCATCTGACAGGGAATCTCCAGCTTTCTGGTGCCCCTTGTCTACTGAACTTTTTTCACTTTTGTGCCACAAACTCGGTTGAACGCTCACGTGTTCTCAAGCATCCAATATTGGTCAAACCTCCTTCTTTAAGGGAATACAATTGATAAGAGAGCTAATTCAAGGAACTAATCCAGGTTTTGAGACATGGTGTTACTGTAATCTAAAGAATGACCATGTGCTTTTCCACATTTGGAGACAGGCTTTTCCATTGTTGTCTTTTTCGTTTGCTAATTACGATTTTGACTCAATATTGATATAACTAGCAGCCCGAAACTGCACCGACAAGATCTTGAAACAGCAAAGGTTCACGCTCTAACAAACATGTCCTGTCTGCTGTACCTTAACCAGCATTTTTCAAGACTAAAATAGGATACATTCTCTCGGGTTTTAGAGTCTTCTTTCTCTCAGAGGGTCATGACCGCGGTGCATCTCCAGTTCAGTGATTTCATATATGGCTGAGGATTTGTACATTCATTATTAGAGATGCTTGTATCAAAAAGCTTCAGCTCTGACCCAGAACCTGTGCAGTGGTCACTAGTGTATCTAAAAAAAACAGCAATAATTGAAATCCTTGAAGCAGCACCTCTATGTTTAAGGCTGTAAAATCTCTCACACACACTTTATACACTTTTCGAACCACATGAACTCAAAGACTGCTGAAGTGAAAGAGATCAGAGATATCAAACCTGTTCGTAGTAGGTCTAGCAGAGGGAGAGACCAGAGAGAGAGAGAGACTAGAGAGAGACCAGGCAGAGAGAGACCAGCGAGAGACCAGAGAGAGAGATGGACCAGAGGGAGAGAGAGAGCAGATACACCAGAGATAGAGACTAGAAAGAGCAGAGAAAGGCCAGAGAGAGAGAGACCAGAGAGACTAGAGGGGGAGAGAGAGTGTAGAGAAAGAGAGCAGAAATTGAGCAGAGAGAGGTCAGAGAGCGACCATTTCTATGTATATTTTCTCAGTGCGAATGAGTCTACTCCAAAACAATAGAGACTGGTGGCTAAAACAATCTAAACACTCTTCAAAGTTGATTTTGGACATTGTGTCCTGTGTGAACGTTCATATCAGACAATCTCTCAGCCTCCATGCGCAGAAAACACTCTGACAAAGACAATCTAATGTTCTCTCTTCGTCCAGGACCAATCACTCACCCTGTCCCCCTCTGATCCAGGCTCTCCAGGCTGACCGCGGTCTCCCTGTGGATACATGACACTGGGGTCATCCCTCCATCAGAATACAACTTCGACAAGTGCGTACGCCCTACATCGGCAATCTCGTCTTACCTTACTGCCAATCGGCCCTTGTGGACCACGGGGACCCTGGGAGATGGAAGACAATTCAACATTTATAGCGCCATGGCTTGAAAGTTTTCAGTGTTTGGACGAAGAATAAAAGATAGTAGTTTGTTCAGAGATTTGTAGCTGTGATCTACCTTAAAATAACTGAAACTCAATCCAACAATATTAGTGTTGGATTGAGTGCTAGCCTGAATTCAAAGCTAATCAGTGTTTATCATGCCCATTTTGAGAAGGCCATTCATTCTTTTATCTTTTCAAGGCTTGATTATTGTAACTCCCTCTATGCCGGCATTGACCAGACCCAGCTCAGACCCTTACAGGGAGTGCAAAACGCAGCAGCCCGTCTTTTAACAAGGGACAAAGCGTAGGGACCACATCACTCCTGTTCTGTGATCCCTGCACTGGCTCCCGGTATATTTGAGAATTCATTTTAAAAAATGTATTATCGTTTTCAAAGGTTTTAATGGAATGGCACCTTCTAATTTAACCTTCAGATTAGCACCTTCTGGTCGTCCCTAGGACCAGGCTGAAGACTAGAGGAGACAGAGCTTTTTAATAGGGCCACATAAGTTGAACTCTTTACCTTTGTACATTAGAACCGCATATTCACTCGAGCACTTTAAATCCCTGCTTCAGACGAACCTTTTCTCTTTGGCTTTTAATACCAGGTAGAAAGAGACAAGTTTTTGTTTTTTGTTCTTATGTGTATATATATGTATGTATTTTTATGTGTTTTTATTTTGTATTTATTTATTATTTTCTTGCTGACTGTACAGCACTTTGAAAAGCCTAGGCTGTATTAAATGTGTTCTACAAATAGAGATTTAATTGATTGATTGATTGATTATACCAGGTTGGATGCCTGAGGTGTATGGAAGCTAATATTCAGCTCTTATGACAGTTTTAATAGAGTACATTAGAGTGACGACACATGACCCTCCCGTCTGCAAAGCCTTATGGTATTGCGCGTGTAGCAAATACGTAATCCCTTTTTTCAAATCTCCTCCATGATCTGCTGAGTTGTGTACATTTGTTGTGATGCCATATAAACACAATTGCATAATAATGTTGTGACATGGTCCTTGCTAATGAAATGCTTACAATATGCTATTTTTCCCATTTACTGCCCACCGACCATTACTCTAAAAAACGCTTATCTCTGTAAGTCTTTGACCTCTCCATGATGGAAGTATTTTCTGCGCACATGTGTCACTTACTCTGTCCCCTGGCTCTCCTTGTCGTCCTGCAGGTCCAGGCAGACCGGCTCCCGCCTCCCCCTAAAAAAAAACACATCCATACAGCAGTTTTGCAGAGATAAGACACGGCGTATAAGTCCTGTGACAAATCTATCCGTACCTTGTCACCCTTGGAGCCTGGTGATCCGGCCTGCCCCTTTGAGCCTGCGGGTCCTGGAAGTCCTGAGCTACCCTGATAATGAAAGTAGTAATTTGGTGATGTAATGTAAAGCGTTAACTCACAGTGAAGGACAAAGCTAGCGGACATAAGTTCACTCTACGGTACAGTCTGTGTTGACCACTCATGAACAGATCAGAAGTAAAGTATGGCTTGTACCACTATATTTGTACATGTTAAACTGTGAATACATGTTGTGACATGTGTCTATGCTGCAGAGGTAGGTCATCAACTAGGAATTTATGATGTCAGGTGTAGTCTGTTCATTGCTATTCACCCGTCGTCCCATTGGCTGTGTGATGGCGTGATAATGGGAAAATGGGTGGATGGATGGATGGACATAATACTAGTCTTAATTACGACGGCTAACCGCTCTCCCCACAGTGGATCCTCACAACAATAAAACATTACAATAATCATAGAACTAATGTCTTTGTTCTGTGTTTTTCTGTCACATGTTATTTGTACAGCCCTGTAGGTTTTAGACCTGCCCTTAGTCTTATCTGTCCGTCCACTCTTATCTGTCTCTGTATTCCCCAGTCTCTAAGTACATTATTTATATCCTTGAGTATTGCCTTGATCCTGTGTTGCACTTAGTATGTTTTTACTTGACGTACAATTTTGAACCACTCTGGAATCTGTTCCACTGTGCTTCATCAACAATAGGAAAATAGTGTATTATATTTAGTTAAAAAAACATATAACGTCTCTCTTATATGTACACCTGCACTTATAATTCCAAAAAACATATGAATGATGACACAAACAGTAAATATCCTGGTGTTTATGAGTTCAGTAACACAACCAGGTTCTATTGGATCTAAAGGTATCCATGCATGACAATAAAGGGCTTCATCCAACTATCTACCAGAGGTGTGGACTCGAGTCATGTGACTTGGACTCGAGTCAGACTCGAGTCATGATTTTGATGACTTCAGACTCGACTTGACCAAATATAAAAAGACTTGCAACTCGACTTGGACTTTAACATCAATGACTCTGACTTCCACTTGGACTTGCGCCAATTGACTTGTAAAGACTTGCGTAACCCGGGCCATTTTTACCTTTCTCCGCATCTCTCTTTCTGCCGTCTCTGAAGAAACAAAGCCTCGCGGTAGTTGTAGCGCTCGCGAGAGAGTTCGAACGTGAGTTCCCCGCAGTTCGCGCAGCAACACTTCCCTAAACAAGCGGACTGCATTCACCGGTGGGTGTGTTTTGTCGTAGGGGAGCTGGAAATGAGCGAGCTGCAGGTATTTATCGCGACCTAACGTCATATTTTGTTCTACAAACCGTAATTGATATGCTTTCACTACAGGCGCCTCATACAATTGAATCGACGCAGTTGTCACACTCTGTGCCGTGTTTTAAAGAGGAACTGGTGAGTCAAACTAGCGCTAGCCTGCGCTGCTCTGTTGGCTCTTTCTTATATTTTTCTGTGTGAGCGCAAAGGCCTATTATTATGAGTATGTTTTTGCTGTGCTCCTCCTGCTAAAGTTTGCATACATTAGATAGTTGTTTTGATTATGTGCACTAAGCTAGATTAATATTTGCACTATTGTTTATGGTGCATTGATATGAGAATCAGTGCTTTGACTGATTGAATTAATTTATATGAGACATTTTATTATGTAATGATATATTGGTAATTATGAGATATTACTAATGCTGGTCCAGTTCATACAGGCCAGGTTCCTTCCCCTCCATTGGTCCCTTCAGTCCTTTGCCCCCCCCCCCTTTTTTTTTGATGGCGAGCTGCCCCAGGTCCAAAGCCTGGACCCCTCATACTACCCCTATCCTACAGTAGGACATTTGGAACAATAACCACTACGGACATTAAACTGATTATATAGATACATGTCCTAGCCCAATACTGAGATTAATTGATTATAATATAAGCATACTATTCATATATGCTGCACTTGCTACTTCCCATTAAAAACCCCAAAGATAAAAAGTATGTTGACACGGACTGCTCTGATTTTATGTGTGGTCTGTGCATGTGTAACTGAGCCTGCATCTGGCACAACATCCAATTAGATCACGTAGATAGTTTTGATTTACCAGCAGCCAACGACGAGGAACAAACTGTTAGTCCATGGGTCAGAGACCAACGAGAATGCACCAGCAAAATGATTCCTAACATTATTTTGTTTGCCTACAAAAGTACGTGGAGACCAACAAGAAACAAATCGCGGTCAAAAAGACTCGAGAGGACTCGAAAGTCAAACCGTAGGACTTGGGACTGACTTGAGATTTGTTGGCCTTTGACTTGGACTCGACTCGGGACTTGCCTGTCTTGACTCGTGACTTGACTCGGGACTTGAGGGCAATGAATTGAGACTGACTTGTGACTTGCTAAACAATTACTTTGTCCCACCTCTGCTATCTACAGCCTCAGTCCTGGATCTACAGCCTCAGTCCTGGATCTACAGACTCAGTCCTGGATCTACAGCCTCAGTCCTGGATCTACAGCCTCAATCCTGGATCTACAGCCTGAGTCCTGGATCTACAGCCTCAATCCTGGATCTACAGCCTGAGTCCTGGATCTACAGCCTCAGTCCTGGATCTACAGCCTCAATCCTGGATCTACAGCCTCAATCCTGGATCTACAGCCTGAGTCCTGGATCTACAGCCTCAGTCCTGGGTCTACAGACTCAGTCCTGGATCTACAGCCTCAGTCCTGGATCTACAGACTCAGTCCTGGATCTACAGCCTCAGTCCTGGATCTACAGCCTCAATCCTGGATCTACAGCCTGAGTCCTGGATCTACAGCCTCAATCCTGGATCTACAGCCTGAGTCCTGGATCTACAGCCTCAGTCCTGGATCTACAGCCTCAATCCTGGATCTTCAGCCTCAGTCCTGGATCTACAGCCTCAGTCCTGGATCTACAGCCCCAGTCCTGGGTCTACAGCTTCAGTCCTGGGTCTAAAGTCTCAGTCCTGGGTCTACAGCCTCAGTTCTGGGTCTACAGCCTTAGTCCGAATGTGGCTCTAGAGTGATTATGAACATGTGGGGTTCATGTCTTTAACTTTAAAATATCCTTTTAAAAATTGTACAATTAAAATTTTAAAACTAAAACAGGCTGAAATAAGCTTTATAGAAATTTGGCTTCATATTGATAATTGTACTAATCTTCATCCTCTCCCTCATCCTCTCCCAGTCTCTCCCTCGTCCTCTCGCCCTTATCCTATCCCTCACCCTCTCCCTCATCCTCTCCCTCATCCTCTCCCTCATCTTCTCCTCCCTCCTCTTTTCCTCATCCCCTTCCTCATCCCCTTCCTCATCCTCATCCTCTCCCTCATCCTCAGCACATAGCGGATGCGTCAGCACTTTGTCCCCTGAGTGACGGGATCTTACTGGGGAGCCCTTGTCGCCCTTGACGGCCGACCCACTGCCGACTCCTGGAGGTCCCTGTCAGCGAGAGAAACAGAAACAGGAGAGTGAGAAGAGGGAGGGGGGAGATGAAGAGAGATAAAAGCTTAGACACCAGCAACTCACCCTTTCTCCGGCGCTGCCCTTCTCCCCCTGAGAGAAACACAGATAGAAGACGAGATTAAGGGAAAAAAGGAAAAAAAGTCTCATTGAACTGCTCCAAAGCTATATGCAAATACTTCACTTCAATGATCCGTCTGATAGATATAAAGACGGAAGCATAGACTGTATATTAGGAGTGGACTGAGAGAGTGTGACATCACCTTAGTGTTAGCCTTAACGCGGAAGAGGCCGATATGAACGTACGATAGCCAAGTTCCTTGTAAGGGCATTTGTTCTGACGGCATTAGCTCTGCGCCATAACAGGGGCAAAAGTGTTGCTAAGACGGTTGTTATGGCAAGCTGGAGTTTCCCGTGCAAATTAAGGAATCTGATTGGTCAATTCTTACATGGCTCATATCTGGATTAACAAAGAGAATATCACGATATAAACACCTAGATCAAAAATTATGAGTTACTGAGCTAGAGGACTTTGCTTATACTTGTAAGTTAAAAGGAGACAGAGCGAGTTGGAGCAAAGATTTGTCCATGAGCACTTCCCTATACTGGGCTTCATAAAGCTAGCGGCTTGCATTGTGGAGCTTTTGTTAAAAGCTACGGATATAATGTGAAAATAATGAGAAATCGTGCATAAGAGGCTGATACAGTAATAGCTTGTGTGCGTGATTAGAAATGGCAGGATTTAATTTCTTTTGTGAAGGATTATCTTGTGTATGACAGGTGCTATACAATTAAACGTTGTTTTATATGCTGTCCAGAGAGGTACGACTACAGAACATCCAAAGTGATTCAGACAAACTTAATTTAAGATGTACCTAACTGTCTTTCAACATAGATAATTGCATGATTTGAATGTTTTCTTTGTTATTGTGTTCAGCCCTGTGAGTTGCCTTGTATGAACTGTGCTATACAAATAACCTTGCCTTGCCTTTCCGGTCGCAGTCTGCCCAAGCAGTGTTATTGCACGCTAAATCCACACGGTTGAATAATGCCATCTTGTGTTTGAAAGTGTACATTACAACTCCTGCTTTAGGATGTGATTCAAAATGTAGTCAGCCATCAAGGTCACAGTGAAGTCAAATGTACAGGCAAGGCAAAGAGAGGCAAGCTTATTTGTATAGCACAGTTCATATACAAGGCATACATTTTGATTTAATTAAAGAGTGAAAAAATACAGACTACTTTGTTTAGGTTCTACTTCTGATAAATTGGCTTCAAACCCTCTTTTTGACATATACTCTGGCCTCATGCAAAATTATTATTTACAGACGTCTCAAATCAGACAGTAAGTGGCGCTTTAAGGTTCATTAATTCATCAATAGACTTTTATAGCTATACTTAACATGCAAAAGGATGAAAATAATTTGTTTTGTTGCCACACACACACACACACATTCTCATTGTCAACCACAATATGGATTGAAAATGGTTTCATAATAGAGAGTTAATTGATATATGTGCCGTGAGATGAGCAGACGACGATGTACTACAATTCAGAGTCATTACCCTCAAGTCAAGTCCCAATTCTCATCCCGTTTCAGATTTGAATCTGAATTGGTAAGAGAATTAGATTTTTACCTGAAAACTACTTCCGGCGCCAGCTCCCGCTGTGCAGCTCGTCACTTTGGCTCTCTTCTCTTTCCGACCCTTTCTCTATTTATTTCTTGTAGATGTGCTTTTTTTATTTTTATTTTTCGTAGACAAGCGTTTATTTGTGCATTGTGCACACGGGAAGCCTAGCCTCGTGGACTTTCTCACTGGATTAACATGTCTTCGGCACTTTTTTCGGAGTCCTCCACTCACAGAGCCACGAGACCAGCGTGTCCCATTGTTTACACACGGGAGCAGCTTCTCTGACTTAGAGACTCCGCTTTCCGGCACTCAGAGAAGCCGGTGATCCCCTTGGAGATCCATAGGAGACGTAGGGGCTCCAGAGGAGGCCTAAAGAGGAAGAAGAGACCGTATCTCCCCTCCATCCTCATGGGGAACGTACGGTCCATCTCTAATAAGACTGAGGAGCTGACCGCACTGGTCCGCCATCATAAAGAGTACAGACAATGTGGACTTATGTGTTTCTCTGAGACGTGGCTGTGTGGGAATATACCGGACTCTGTGGTCGCGCTGGAGGGATTTAAACTTGTGCGAGCGGACCGCTGCGCGGAGGGGAGTGGGAAGAGGAAAGGCGGGGGTGTCGCGGTCTAGCAGACATCCCCGCCGGTGTCTGCTAGACCACAAGCAGTGATGCATCCCGATGCATGTGCATGTGGTTCAGCGTACATGCACACAGGACCTGGAGCTGCTCGCTATGAGCATGAGACCCAGGTATCTGCCGCGGGAGTTTTCACACACCGTGGTTCTGTGTGTTTATATTCCGCCGTCAGCAGACGCAGCATGTGAGGGGATACACAGAACTGTGACCCAGATCCAGACCCGCCGTCCCCGCGCTCTGATTCTGATCAGCGGAGACTTTAACCACGCCTCCCTCTCCGCCACTCTCCCGACATTCAAACAGTATGTCACGTGCCCAACTCGTGGCAATAAGACTCTGGACCTACTGTATGTTAATGTGCGGGAAATTGGGAAATGATCTGCAGCTCTCATGGTGAGGACATCGAGAGCCTGACACACTGCATTACAGACTACATGTATATTCTCTTCTGTGTGGATAACACTGTACCAACTAAGAAGGTGCGGTGTTTTTCTAACAACCACCCATGGGTGACCCCTGAGCTTAAAGCCCTCCTGAACCTCAAGAAAAGGGCTTTCATTTCAGGGGACAGGGAGGAGCAGAAGAGGATCCAGCACGAGCTCCAGTGGAGGATCAGGAGGGCCAAGAAAGGACTATGGGAAAAAGCTGGAGCAGAAACTGGCCCAGGGAAACGCCCGCGACGTGTGGAGAGGCCTAAAGAACATCTCCGGCTTTGGACAGAGTGCCAGAGGAACAGCGGATGGAGACCAGCACCGGGTGGATGAATTTAACCAGCACTTCAACCGGTTTGATTCTCCCCCCCTCTCCATCTGCCCCCCCCTCCCGCCCCCACCTCTTCACACGTCCCCAGCCCAGTGGACACCGCCCAGTGGACACTGCCTCCGGCTGCCCCGGGCCCTCCTGCCCCCGCATCCCCAGCCCCCACCTCGGACAGTACACCCCGGTCCCCCCCCCTCTCCATCACACCGGACCAGGTGAGGAGTCAGCTCCATCGCCTGAAGCTGAGGAAATCCGCAGGACCGGACGGGATCAGTCCCAGGCTGCTGAGGACCTGTGCAGACCAGCTCTCTGGGGTCCTCAGCTACATGTACAACCTGAGCCTCAGCCTGGAGAAGGTCCCTGACCTGTGGAAGACCTCCTGTGTGATCCCGGTCCCAAAAACAGCACACGCCAAGGAACCGGCTCACTACAGACCAGTCGCACTGACCTCCCACCTGATGAAGACCATGGAGCGGCTCATCCTCACCCATCTCTGCTCCGTGGTCAGCCCCACCCTGGACCCGCTGCAGTTCGCCTACAGACCCAACATCGGAGTAGAGGACGCCGTCATCTACTTCCTGCAGCGGACGCTCTCCCACCTGGAGCCCGCCGGGAGCGCTGTGAGGGTCATGTTTTTCGACTTCTCCAGCGCTTTCAATACCATCAGGCTGGCACTGCTGCAGGGGAAGATGGAGGACGCGGGAGTGGACAGTAGCCTCACTGCATGGACCATGGACTACCTCTCAGACCGACCACAGTACGTGCGGCTGCGCAGCTGTGAGTCTGAGGTGGTCGTCTGCAGCACTGGGGCCCCTCAGGGCACTGTCCTCTCACCGTTTCTCTTCACCATCTACACCTCAGACTTCACACACGACACACACAGCTGTCACCTGCAGAAGTTCTCCGACGACTCCGCCATCGTGGGCTGTGTGTCTGAACTGGAATATCGGTCGGTTATCAAGGACTTTGTCGACTGGTGTGAGCGCAACCACTTGTGCTTGAACACCAGTAAGACCAAGGAGATGATCATCGACTTCAGGAGAAAACGACCTTCCCACACACTGATGAACATCCAGGGGGAGGACATTGAGCTGGTGGACAGCTTCAAGTACCTGGGTGTTCACATTAACAATAAACTGGACTGGTCCCATAATACAAACGCCCTGCACAAGAAGGGCCAAAGTCGCCTCTTCCTTCTGAGGAGGTTGAGGTCCTTCGGAGTGAGCAGGCCTCTGCTCAGGACTTTTTATGACTCTGTGGTAGCTTCTGCCATTTACTACGCTGCCGTGTGTTGGGCCCCGGGCAGCACAGAGCGGGACAGAAACAGACTGAACAAGCTGGTCAGGGGGGCCAGCTCCACTCTCCACTCTGTGGAGGAGGTGAGGGACAGGAGGGTGCTAGCCAAAGCCACCTCCATCATGAACAACACCTCCCACTGCACAGGACTGTAGAGGAGCTGAGGAGCTCCTTCAGTGGAAGACTGAGACACCCTCAGTGTAGGAAGGAGCGCTACCGCAGGGCCTTTATCCCCACCGCTGTCAGACTGTACAATAAGTCACTTTAAATGATCACTGTGTGAAAACCTGCACTACTATTGACACCGTTTCCAATTGACACTTGTCACTTTTGTTGTACATAATTATTGTCACTTTTATTATACATATATCCTGCATGTAACATGTTTGCACATTTCCTCCTTTTGCACAATCTGAGTGTTCTATCCATGCCAAATGTGACATGTAAATTTCTCCTATGTGAGATAAATAAAGCACATCTTATCTTATCTTAAATGTCTCACTGTGGGAAAAAGAAAGGCATCCATCCATCCATTTTCTTCCGCTTTATCCGTTGCCGGGTCACGGGGGCAGCAGTCTAAGCAGAGACGCCCAAACTTCCCTATCCACACACACTTCCTCCAGCTCGTCCGGGGGACCCCAAGGCGTTCCCAGGCCAGCTGAGAGACATGGTCCCTCCAGCGTGTCCTGGGTCTTCCCCGGGGTCTCCTCCCGGTGGGACGTGCCCGAAACACCATTCCAGGGAGGCGTCCAGGAGGCATCCTGAACAGATGCCCGAGCCACCTCAACTGGTTCCGCTCTACTCTGAGCTCCTCCCGTGTGACTGAGCTCCTCACCCTATCTCTAAGGGAGCGCCCAGCCACCCTGCGGAGGAAGCTCATTTCGACCGCTTGTATCCGCAATCTCGTTCTTTCGGTCATCACCCAAAGCTCATGACCATAGGTGAGGGAGGGAACGAAGATTGACCACAACCTCTTTACCACAACGGTCCGATACAGCGGCCGCATCACTGCGCACGCTGCACCGATCCGCCTGTCAATCTCTCGCTCCATCCTTCCCTCACTCGTGAACAAGACCCGGAGATACTTGAACTCCTCCACTTGAGGAAGGACCTCTCCACCCACCTGGAGAGGGCAAGGCACCTTGAGTCTGAGAAAAAGAAAGGCTCTCTTTCCAATCTTATTACAGTACTATTACTAGGCTATTACTATTACTCGAGCTTGCATTAGAAACAGTCTTAACACACCTTGACCAGGCTAACGCAGTCAAAGTAATGCCCATTTAAGGAAATTGGCTCCAGCTAGCTTATGTTCAAATCAGCCTCTTCCACATTAAGCTCTTCCACATTAAGGCTAACAATATGGTGATGTCACACTCACTCCGAATACACACTCCATGGGCAGACTGTGTGTTCCTTCTACACTTTGTCTCCAGTGTGATAATAATATATGCCGTTTGGTTAGAATGTGGTGACACAGTACCTTGATGGAGATTCCGGGTGTACCTGCTAATCCAGGCCGACCATCCTGCCCCGGAGTGCCCGGAGACCCAGCCGTTCCTTTGTCACCTGCAACCCCAGGTCGACCAGGAGTTCCCTTTGACACAGAACACAGTCACACTTTACACATAAATTCTCAAATCTTTATGAATGAAAATATATCATTATTTATTATTTCAGATTTAATTAGAGACTTGAACGGACAAAAAAGGGATTAGAATTGTATATTGGTTGCAATTAGTCTGACACGACATATACACTAAATACATTGCACATACAACTCTGAAGACAATATTTTTAAGATTACATTTATTACTGCTAAACAAAAAATGTGGTTAAAATTTGGCGCTTAGACCCCGACAGAACACTCGATGAGGATAGCAGAAGGGGAACTGGAAATAGAGATCAAGATGAAATTCCCCGGGTACAAAATCCTGGTGGTGGGAGCTCTGAGAAGGGTGAAAGAGCTGGTCCGGCAGACAAGGCGGTGATGGGGAGGAGGAGGGTTGCTGCTGCATGAATGAAAGTGTTCCAATATGTGCACATGTATGCATATGAGAATATTTTCAAATATAATGGACTGGACACAAAATACATCTATTGCAAGTATTGGCAATATTTTCCTTCTATTTTTGTCTAGGGCCCACATAAAGTATCTTAGAAACACTAAAACACAGACCTAAAGCTGGGGTACCAGAAATAGGTAGCGGCTTATAGTCAGGATATTACAGTACTGAATGCCCTTACTGATATTCCCGGGAGGCCTGGTTCTCCTTTCCTTCCTGGTAAACCTCCTCCAGACACCGCAGATCCCGGTTCTCCCTGAAGTAAAGTCACCGTCAGTTAATTAAAAAAATGAAAATGGCCAATTAATATTGCACCTCACCCGTTCTCCTTTGTCTCCCTTTGACCCGACAGCTCCAGGCAAACCAGATTCTCCCTAAATCAAAATAAATGATTTTTTTTTTTTTTACATGATTCATAAAAGTACGTTACGGTACGGTTCGGCGCAGTTATTTTGCGTTTCCACTGGTGGATGGTATCGGAGATTTGCGTACTATTCCGTAACGCCTCAGCCGTGGTTCCATCTCAGTAGTACCGGGGCGAAAATGAAAAATCTCGATCTAATTAAATATTTCGTTTGAACACACTATTGTTAATCATATTGAATACAGTACGATACATGTATTAAATTAAATATATTATTTCCATTATGAACCCGACAGACCAGTTGTAAGCTGTAGAGTTACCACAGGACGCGTCATCAGCCTACGTCAGCAGCCGCGGACTGCTATGAAAACATTAGCTTTGTGGTTTCACAGGCGCAGTTGACTGCTTAAACTAAACTTTGCACAAAACTTTGACTCTTAAAACCCACATGTGACAAAACGGAACCATCAACATCTCGCCTCAAATTGCATTAAAAGTGACATTCGTGTCTTTTAAAGAAATTCACGGTCCGCCATCTTGGTATGCTCCGGCTGCCGTGAGACGCGCATGCGCAGGTTTGCATTACATCATAAACAGCTGAGGCAGTGCATCTCTTCAAGGCAGTGTATCTCGGCGTTACACCGGTACCATGACGTGACGTCGGCCCACTGCCTTACACCGATTGGTCAACGCGTGTCGTCACTGGAAGCGACGTCTGACCCTTTGGTAAAAATAAGTCAATCGCCATTTTTACACAGAAAGCCCCAAAAGTCCTGGTCCTGGTCGGTGGAAGAGGTCCACACGTTACTCTCTTCAGGCCAAAACAAAGAATTCAAAGGCAGCTCGAGGCTCAACACGGAGGTTTCACGAGGTTTTCAGGGAGATCGATCTGGATTTGTGACTAGTCTGTGGTAATCCTGGAAATAACTGGTTAGCTACGTTTCCCGTTGGCCCAAAGCTCTCACTGAAATGTATTTACTGTGTAAATGTTTGATTGTCTGTTGTACACAGTGAGATAGCTACATTTGAATGCAGCTTCATTTAGCTATTGATAGCAAGCTAAGCTAACGTTCTTCTTGTGCTACTGTGCTTTATCTCGTATTATCTGCAGTATTCACGTGTTGTCATTCTGTTATGTGCTTGTACTTAAGTTGTCGTGTGTATATTTGTTTGAGAATCCCTTCCCACTAGTGAGGATATTACCAACGAGCAATGAGTGACCGGAGTATTCTCATCTGGACCTGGTCTGGACATGGTCTCAGACATAAGTACTTTGGACTTTGTAAATTGTTGGTTTTGCACTTTACTTTTGCCTTTAATAAATCTGTGATTGTATCCCAAGACTTTGTTTCATTCATTTGTAAAGGATTGTGGCAAGTCTAAATCCGTATCCGGTGAGCGTGTTTTGACCGTTATCCCTCTGCTTTGTTGCATTTGCATTAACCTTTGATAAATCCACGTATAAGTCTACAACAAGCTAACTCTGTAAGCACTCTGAATCGGCTGTATTGTAGCTGAGGTTTGGGTATCGGTTGTTTGTCTGGTCTCGGAGTCTGCTGTACGCGTATGGGACCGGGTCCGGACTAGCCTAGCCTAGCCTAGCCTAGTTGCTAACTCCCTATCCCTATGGCTGCTTCTGTCTCTCCCTCAGTCCTGTACTTCTCGAGTTGCCATATGGCGAGTCTAAACCCTGGATCCTCTCCGAGGGCAGATGCGTTAATTGTACTATAGTTGCAGCTTTAGAATCCAGGGTTAGTGAGTTAGAGCTGCGTCTCCGAGCACTCAAGTCTCGAGCTAGCGCTAGCATTACCTATAGCCAGGCCGTATCCTCAATGACAATTTACGATTTCCTACCATATACTTAAGACTGCCAAAAGCATTTTCAACAACCACTCGCGCAGTGCTGAATTTTCTATTAAATACTTGCTGTTAGTCTGTCACTCGGTGTCCGCACCACTGTTACTAGTTACGCGTTGCGCGTAAATGACGTGGTCTGACAACGCTGAGGAGATACTAGGAGGCACTATTTTTGATGGAAAAGCACACAAACTGGACCGTGGCGTACCGTGTCGAGTCAAACCGTACGTACGGTACGGTTCGTGGAACGTACGGTACGGCACGTTCGTGTTACTGTGGAAAAGCGGCAAATCAGAGGTGGTTGTACTCACGGGAGCTCCTCTGACACCTGGAAGCCCCTGCGAGCCCTGGAAGAAAAAATACATTCAAATGCTAACACAGTACACTGGGACCTGGTTTATTGCAGGGGTGAAGTGTTCTAAACATAACCCACAATCAGTTAAATCTTTTAAGTAGATGTATGTTTTAAGGCTGTAATACCCCCATGCACACTTTTCTAATCCCCTGAACTCATGACGGCTGAAGTGAAAAAGACCAGCAATATCAAATCTATTGGTTGTAGTTCTGAGTGCTGCTGCAGCTGTCAAAAGCCATGCATACATGGTTAAATAAAGCTGCAGAGGAAACAGGGCAGGAGCAGATCTGAGGGCATAGGAGAGAAAGAGACCAGAGAGAGAAACCAGAGGGAGACTCCAGATGGACAGACCAGAGAGAGAGACCAGAAAGAAACCAGAGAGAAAGAACAGAGATGCTAGAGAGAGACCAAAGAGACCAGAAAGAGAGACCAGAGAGAGAGCAGAAAGAAAGAGATCAGAGAGACAAAAGATAGATCAGAAACCCCTCTGAACTCATCACTGCCGTGCACACAAGCCACAAAAAATATGTTATACTAGTAGTTATATGATGTTGTTGGAATTTAATATTTGAAGTAATAGGAACAAAGGATATACAAAATAACAGTATTTTATTGAGTCCCAGACGACACTCACCGGGACACCTGCACTTCCTGGAGAGCCTGGTCGCCCCGGTAACCCAGAGCTTCCATCGATCCCAGGAAATCCCTAAAAAGGACGAAATCATCACAGCTGTAATCCATTTGCACACACGCTCACACTCATCAACCGTCATTAAAGCACTCACCCTCTCCCCCTTCTCCCCCTTGAGTCGTGCAGAGGGATCAATGGGTCCGCTGGGGCCAGGGGGACCGGGTCGACCCTCCGGACCCCTGATCCCGTCTCTCCCAGCTAACCCGTCACGACCCTGGCACGGCACAGCACAGTTTAAGATATGATAAACCTTTATTATAAGTAAATAAAAATACTCAGATTATGCACACATCAAACAGAATCTACTTTTTAGGATCATAAATAGATAATAAAATAATAAAATTCATTCATTCGTTCAATTATTCACTCGGTCAATACCAGGCTCGAGGATTCGTTGGGATTTAATTAACTTGTAAAAGTTGGAGTACAGACAGTTGTTCAATGGCTTTGAACCGGACTCAGCGAGGATCAAAGTTGGATGACAGCAATTAGCAAAACACAAAATACAGCAATTATTTTAAGAGCTTTTCACACGGTTTGTCAATATCTCATTTGGACTTAAGCCCTGTTTCCACCAGTTTCAGTTCTCTCTGCTCTGCTCTGCTCTGCCCTCATTGAGAGAGTTTCGACCGGTCCTTTTTAACCGGTACCAGGTCCTTCTTTAGTCCCTCTTGGCCCTGGTTCTGGATAGAGCTGGTACTAAAGTGTTCTAACTGACAGTGATTGGCCAGAGTGCTACTGGAAGTCATGGTTACCAAAGAAATTCCACGGACACTGGTTTGTTGTGGGTAGGTTGCTATAATAATGCATCAGTTTTATATAGCGCTTTTTGGACACTCAAAGACGCTTTACATGTCATTATTCTTTCACTCCATACACGGTGGTGATAAACCACTACTGTAGCCGCAGCTGCCCTGGGGCACACTGACAGCAGCAAGGCAACCAATATGTGCCATCGGCCCCTCCGACCACCACCAACCATTCACATTCTAGGCAATGGGGGTAAAGTGTCTTGCCTAAGGACACAACAGCATTTTGGCAGCCGCAGCCGCCCCACTGTGGCTGCTGTTCCCAGAGGTTAAGTATCTTGCTAAGGACACAACGACAGCAGACAGTGGGAGTCGATGGTGAAAGTCGGGCTTGAACCCACGACCCTCTGGCTCAAAGGCCAATGCTCTACCAACTGAGCTACTGTTGCTATGATGCTATGATATGGTCCCCAGATACTAAAGTGTAATGGAAACACAACCAGGTAGAGGAGAGTAGATTAGGGCCAAATAGGGCTAAATAAAATGACAAACAGCTTAAAATAAAAATTAATTTGAAAAAAATAAACCTGTTTTTGTATTTCGATAATAATTTCTGCCAGGTGTAGAACATGCAATTTATTGGGTGTGAAGTTGTCGCAACATCTACAATCAGGAAGTAATATCATATAAAATCTTGGAAACAAACATCCTTATTTAAACATAATCTTATTTTCTCCCGTTGGCAACTTCTCTCAGCTAAATTAGTGATGCATCTTTGTTGAGCGGAATAGTGACTCACTGGCTCCCCCTTGCGTCCGTCCACGCCGTCTCTGCCTCTCTCTCCCTGGAAAAAGCCAGCGTTGTGAACAAACAAAAGAAATAACAATTGCAGAGAATGTTGTAACAGCAAGAATTACTTTACCTTATCTCCACGGTCTCCCTTCTCACCCTGAAGACGATACAAAAGAATTTTCATATTAGTTTAGCAGTACCTCTATTTCCCTTTCAGTCACACCAAGAGTCCCTAATATTTCCCAGTTTCTATATAGCCAATAGAAAAACTCTTTACACAATAAAGTTCCAAAAATGAGTCTGAGAGCCCTGAGAATAGCCCTGGATATACCTCCAAACACTGCAAAAAGTGACAAACATGTGCTTGAGGCTATTTTGACTTTTTTTAAACTAGATTTTCCAATGGATTTAATTCAAACATTTCTTTTAAAAGTGAGAAGATAATGGAAGAGCTTTGTCTTGTTCTATCCCTGTAAGTACACAAACTAAAAAGCATGTCCCATTGGCAGATACAGTATACAGTATATGTAGTCTATTCTATGTGTGTGTGAGAGTAAGAGAGTGAGAGAGTGAGAGAGAGAGAGTGTACATATGTAAGAGAGAGAGCGTATGAATGAGTGTGTGTGTGTGTGTGTGTGTGTGTGTGTGTGTGTGTGTGTGTGTGTGTGTGTGTGTGTGTGCACTTGTTTTCAACTCCTGGTGGGTTCCATAACCTGAGATTCCACTCACATCATGGGGACTGGTTTTACGTGGTGGGGCCCGAACACCGGACCCCACTGGTCCAAGCTTAATAATCAATGGGTAATGCTTTTCTAACGGTCCTTATGCAGTCTCTGTAAAAATATGGAAAGGACCCCTGGAGGTTTACTTTCCTGAAAAAAGTGTGTTATGTGTCGGAACCCTGGTGGTGGGTTGCGGGATATCAAGGAGGGGCACACTGGGGCAATTTCAGTCCAGCAGGCTGGAGCCAATCATGGAGCAGCACAACAGAGGAAATCAGGTGTCAGGCTAGAAAAAGGTGCAAGTGTGTGGTTCATTAGGCTGCAAGAAATCATGGAGGAGCACACTGAAGCGCACGCTTACAAACCACTGGTAAGTGCTGACTACAAGTCATGACTTCAAATTGTTATATAGAATGATTACAAATTATTTGTTGTTTGTGCAGCTTAGTCAAGAGTCCCTAATTGATGAAGTCGACTCAGATTCTGACGATTTAACTGTCAAGAAGAAACCTGTAAAAAAGTATGGAAAAAGAAAAATCAAAAACACTTTTCTTCAAGACTCGGAAAGTGACGAACCAAAGGCAAATAAGATTGTTATCATGCAGCTGCAAAAGAAGAAAAATGGGGGGGCGAGTATACAGCAAGAGACACTTCTGCCTCTACTGTTCAATGTCCTGCCACAAAATGTCCCGTCATTTGACTAGAAAACATGGAAATGAAAGTGACGTAGCCAGAGCATTGGCTCTACCTGTGAAATCTAAAGCACGTAAACTTCAGTTTGATTTGATCAGGAATAGTGGAAACCGTGAGCACAATTTTGAGGTTTTAAAGGCCGGCATTGGAACTTTAGTCCCAGCTAAACAGCCAAATTGCCCAGTTAAATCCAGTGAGTTTTTGCACTGTATAGACTGTGGGGCATTGCTTAAGCGAAAGTCGCTGTGGAGGCATGTGGCCAGGTGCCGGCTTTCACAGAAAGATGCCCAGGCTAAACCAGGTAGAAGTAGGGTCCAGTCCCTCTGCTCCCTAGCCCAGCCTGTACCGGAGGGCATCAGCAAAAAGCTGTGGTCTTTAATTTCGGCAATGCATCAGGATGAGGTCACGGGTGTTGTCAAAGCAGAAAAGGGGATTCTGAGACTCGGAGAGCACCTGTACTTAAAACACGGGCATGATAAGACAAAGCATGATTACATTAGGCAGAAAATGAGAGAAGTCGGTAGGTTAATTAACGAAGCAAAAACCGCAGGGAAACTGAAAACAATTAAGGATTTCTTTATTCCTTCCAACTTTAACCATGTGATTGATGCAGTCAGGTCTGTGGCTGGATATGATGAGGAAACAAATCAATACAAGACTCCATCCTTGGCCCTCAAACTCGGCCATAGCCTCAGAAAGCTAGCAGATATTCTTGAATGTGACTCAAAAATGGAGCATTGTGTTGATGAACTATTTATTAAAAACCTCCAACGAAGCCGGCTGCTTTTTGAGAAGAGGTGGGACGTCTGTGTTTCTTCTGCTGCCCTACAGACCCTCCGGCAAGCCAAGTGGAACACTCCGGACCTGCTCCCTCTGACTGAGGACGTTAGAGCCATGCATGCACATATTGAGGTATGTCGACCTGAATATGTGCAAACCCTAATAAGTGAGCCAACGTCTAAGCATTGGTCTAAACTGGCAGTTTTGACTCTTTGTGAGGTCATCATTTTCAATCGAAGAAGGGAAGGTGAGGTTTCAAAGATGCCACTGACAGCCTTTACCTTAAGAAGTAAGACTGGGATCCATTCTGACATTGCTCTGGGACTGTCCCAACTTGAGAAAAAGCTGTGTCAGCATTTTCAACGCATTGAAATTAAAGGGAAAAGAAGTCGGAAAGTGCCGGTTCTTTTGACTCCTGAAATGATTGCTTCGATGGAGGTGCTGGTGGAGAACAGAAGGGCCTGTTCCATCTCTGACCATAACCCATACTTCTTTTCCCGCCCGGGCGCAGACACCCACATCAGGGGATCAGACTCCCTACGCCAGGTAGCCAAAGAATGTGGTGCGGTGCATCCAGAGATGCTATCCTCAACCAAACTTAGAAAGCACATAGCTACTATGTCTACAGTTCTCAATATGAAAGAGAATGAGATGGACATACTTGCCAACTTCCTCGGCCATGACATTCGCATCCACAGGCAATATTACAGACTACCAGAGGGGACACTGGAGCTGGCCAAAATCAGCAAAGTGTTGATGGCCATGGAGCAGGGAAGAGTGACGGAATTCGAAGGAAAGAGCCTCGACCAGATACAAATTGAGCCTGAAGGTAATTCTTGATATTATTAAAATATGTATGATTTTTTTCCCCTAAAGGCCACTTGTATTTTTATTTTCTGTGCGACAGGGAGAGCAGTAGAGATCCTCTCACAAACGGACGGGCTAAAAGAAACTTCAAGCGGAGAACCTTCAACCATTCATCCAGATGCACCCCATGGTAGTGGCAGTGCCCCTTCTGGTAAGTGTACCAGGTGGGGGATTACAGCCAGGCTGCTTGGTCCTCACCCTGGGAGTGTATATTGCTAATATATTTTTATTTCTCTCCCTAGAACGTGTAAGAAAGCCATGGTCTGCATCTGAGGTGAAGGCTGTGGAGAAGACCATGACACCTTTCATACAGACTGGAAAGGTCCCTGGGAAGTCTCACTGCCTGGCCTGCATTAATGCCTCACCAGATGACCTTAGACATCGGACATGGAGTGGCATTAAATTCTATGTCAAAAATAGAATCACTGCAATTCGAAAACAAAATCTAAAATAAAATTCCTTTAAAATAGTTGTTTGGTTTCTATTGACTGTTTTGTATTACTTAAAGTCTTGGTAAAAAAAGATTATGTCTATGGGTCCCATTCTGAACGGCCCTGTCAAAGGGACCCACCAGGTAACAAAAACGTGTATGTGTGGGTGTGCAGAAAGTGTTTTGAGAAAAAAACCCAAGTGTTTAGGCTGTAGGACCAGGCACACTTTGAAAATCAGACTAAGTGTTTTGAGAAAAAACCTAAGTGTTTAGGCTGTAGGACCAGGCACACTTCGAAAATCAGACTAAGTGTTTTGAGAAAAAACCTAAGTGTTTAGGCTGTAGGACCAGGCACACGTTGAAAATCAGACTAAGTGTTTTGAGAAAAAAACCTAAGTGTTTAGGCTGTAGGACCAGGCACACGTTGAAAATCAGACTAAGTGTTTTGAGAAAATAACCTAAGTGTCTAGACTGTAGGACCAGGCACACGTTGAAAATCAGACTAAGTGTTTTGAGAAAAAACCTAAGTGTTTAGGCTGTAGGACCAGGCACACGTTGAAAATCAGACTAAGTGTTTTGAGAAAAAAACCTAAGTGTTTAGGCTTTGAGGAGCCCGGAAAGCGGGGCTTACTTCCCCCGGGAATGGGCGCCCAGGCCCGGATCTGAGCGGGAGCAAAGCCCGCCCCGGTGGTAGCCCAGGTCCGGAGGAGTGCGTGGGTCCAAACCCCGTCCCCCCCCTCTGGGCCCCCCCCCCCCTCCCGAGTGCGCCCCGCAGCCTTCGGGCCCCCTCCCCCTCAGGGCGTCCGAAGGCTCGCTCTCGCCCCGCGCCGCCCCGTCACCGTCCCCCCGCGCCCCCAACCCCCTCGACTCCTCCAACCCGGGCGACCACCCCAGGCGCTGGTGCCGCCGCGGCGGCTCACCGGCCGGTCCGCCCTGCTCGCCCGCCAGTCCTAGGTGAGCGTATGCGCTGGTGGGGGAGCGCCGGACCACCCTGGCCATCACACCCCCCCCCCCTCCCCCGCCCCCCGATAGGCCGCCCCCCCTCGCGCCCGTTCCACCACCCGGCCCCGCCCCTGCCCTCCCCCCCCCGCCTGCCGACACCCCTCAGGCGCCCTACCGCCCTGACCCCCTGACCCAGCCCCCGCCCCCCCCCCATCCGCCCCTGGCGGACTTCCCCCCCCTCCCGGCCTCCAACCCCCCCCCGCATACCCTGCTGCTTCCGCGCCCCCACGAGACCCCGCCCCCCCTCCGGCTGGGCGCGATCCCCGACGGGGGGTATCCCGCGACCTCCCGGTCCCGCACCGTCCGCTCGGACCCGGCACCCAACCCACCTTACCAGTCCCCGCTTGCAGCCCCTGCCCCCCGATCCCCCCCCCGCGCGTCCCCCCCAGCCGCGCGAACCCCGCACCCCGACAGGTGTGTCACAGCTGGCCCGCCGAGGCGCGCTCCACCTGCCTGCCCCGCCCTCACCCGCGTCCGCCCGCCGGCACGCCACCCATGACCCCCCTCCCCTCGGATGCGGGCAGGTGGCGACAGCGCTAGACACGCACCCCACCGGGCCACTGCGGTCGCCCCCCTGGATCGCCCGTCGTACCACACCATTCCCCCCCTGGAGCCCCGGCTGCCACCCCCCCGCCTGTTGGCCGGCGCACGCCCACCCGCCACGCACCGGCGCCTCCAACCCCCCCCCGCGTGGATCTCCCGTCCCTCACGCTGCCCACGCCGACCTGTCCCCCCCCCGCCGCCCCCCACCGCAATCCCGCCCGTAGGAGGTAACCCCCCCCCTGGCCCACGGGAACCGCTCCCCCCCCCCCAGCATGCCCGCGCGCCCCCCCTGCCCCTTCCAAGCGCCGGGTTACCCGCAATCCGCCTACCAGCCCTTGCGCTCGGCCCCCCACCCTCCCCCCCTCACCCTCGCCCCGCCGCCCTCGACTGCAGTGAGAACCCCCGGCCGGGGGGCGAGCCCCCCCGGTGCCCTCTCGCCACCACCCACCGTGTGGCCGTCACCCGTCGCCCCCTTCGCCCCCAGGTCACGCCCCCCAGACTGGCGTGTGGCCCCCCCGGCCATGCAGCCGCGACGTCCCCCCCCCCGTGCCCCCGCGGCGCGTCGCACCTAGAACCCCCCCCGCTGCCCGCCCCCGCTGGCCCAACTGCGCCAAGACGGCCCGCGGCCCTGGTCGATTGCCCGCCCCGTAAGAGGCTCTCTTCCAGAGTGCACGCTCGGGGCGCACCACAAATACACCCCCCCACCACAGAAAAACGAAGGCCCCCCCGCGACTGACTGCCCAACACAGCCCCCCTCGCCCCGGAACGCCCGCCCAGCTACCCGGTCCTCCTGTACTGCGGTACCGGTACCGCCCCCCACCGGAGCAGGGAGCGATCCCCTGCCGCACCCCGAGCCGGCTCCCTCCTCCCCGGGGGGGGCGCGACAGGCCGACCCCGCGGAGGTTCACGCCCCCCGCGCGATCGCGCCCCGCATCCGCCTCCCCCGTGGGCCGCCACTGCCGCCCATCCGCGGCGCTTCCCCGATGCCCTCCCCTTCGGTGTGGGTGGGGGGGGCGCGCCCCGATGCCCCGTCGCCCCGGAGCGCGTGTCACTCCGTCCGCAATCCCCCCTCCCTCGGCGCCTCCGCCCGCCCCGCCTAGCCCGGTCCCCCGCTGGTGCCCCGCGTGGCCCCCCCACCGCGCGCGCCTGCCCCGTCCGCTGAAGCCCGTGAGTCCGGGACCCCTCCCCCCCCCCCGCTCCGCCTCGCCGCGGGGGAGGGGCTCCCGTAAGACTCTCACGGAAACCCCACGTCTGGCCCCCATCCGGACCACGACACGCGAGCCCCTACCGCCACCGCTACCGCGGCACGTGAAAAAACGCCGCTCCCCCCCCCCCACTACCGGGTTCCCACCGCGCTGCCGCGGCCGGCCCCCGGCGCCCCCATGGTATGCGCCCGGGCCGGCCCCGCCCCCACTCCCCCCAGGGCCCGACCGCGCCACGCCCTGCCCCTCGGCCCGCCCCCGCGGGCGACCCATGGTCACCGCACCCAGGTGTGCCGAGCGCCCCGGCTCGCCGAAACGTGACCCCGCACACGTAAGCACCGCCCCCCCTCGTGCGGCGGGCGGTACGCCCCTCCCCACCCGACCCCCCCCGCTCGCCCTCCCTGCCACCGCTGCGCCTTCCGACCACCCCCTGCGCTCGGCAGGGGCCCGGCCCGGAGGCTCTCGTCCCCGCCTGTTCTGGTGGGGCCCCCCCGCTGGTGGTGGCGTCGGGCCCGTCTGGGCCCGCCGAGGTGCCACGGGCCGACCGGCCGCGCCCCGCGGAGAGGACACACGTGCCGCCGCGCGAGGCTAGTTGCCGGGGGACAGGGTCCCACCCGCCCCCCCCGGGGGCAGCCGCCCCGCACAGCGTGGTGCCCCGGCCCCGCCGTCCAAGCGCCCGGCCCATGACGTGTCCAAGGCGTGTCACTGGTCCATGGCGTGTCCGGGCGTATCACTGGTCCATGACGTGTCTGGGCATGTCACTGGTCCATGGCATGTCCAGGCGTGTCACTGGTCCATGACGTGTCTATGGCGTGTCCAGGTGTGTCACTGTCCGTGACGTGTCACTGCTCCGTGACGTGTCCACGGCGTGTCACTGGTCCATGGCGTGTCCAGGCGTGTCACTGGTCCATGACGTGTCTGGGTGTGAGCAGCCTGGACACGCCATGGACCAGTTGACACGCCTGGACACGCCACGGACCAATGACACGCCCGGACACGCCATGGACCAGTGACACGCCATGGACCAATGACACGCCTGGACACGCCATGGACCAGTGACACGCCTGGACACGTCATGGACCAGTGACACGTCATGGACCAGTGACACGCCATGGACCAGTGACACATCATGGACCAGTGACACGCCATGGACCAGTTACACGCCATGGACACTTCATGGACCAGTGACACGCCGTAAACACGCCATGGACCAGTGACACGCCTGGACACGTCATGGACCAGTGACACGTCATGGACCAGTGACACGCCATGGACCAGTGACACGCCATGGACCAGTGACACACCTTAGACCAGTGTCACACCTGGACACGCCTTAGACCAGTGACACACCTGGACACACCTGGACACGCCTTAGACCAGTGACACACCTGGTGGGGAAGTGATTAGGAGTGGGCAAAATATATCGTAGACAATAATTTCGTGAACGCCAATTTGAAGATATGCTTTATTGTATTATCTTTTTTATTTTCCAATACATATTACAATTAGAGAAGGAAAGATGCCCATTGGTCTAATGTGTGCCTAAAAAGCCAATCACTGCTTTATTTGTACATTTCAGTAAATATTGAGCCTTTTTGGATGTGTTTTTTCTGTGTTTCTTGAATCTGATTTTTAATGTTAATATATGTTAGTGCATGTTTTGCAAAGATGTGTGTAGCACTTCAGAAAATAAAAAGCTTCATTTTGATCTACACTGTCTCTTATCTATAGATTCCATGGCAAGCAAAACATTGCAGATCATTTTGTGTAACCATTTTTTATTTTAAAGATATCGTGACAATGTCGTTATCGGGAGTTGGGTATAAAGTATCAAGATATTTATTTTTGTCCATATCGCCCACCCCTAGATGTGATGCATGCTTGCAGATTGGCAGTTGAGTTCTGGTGGATACAGATATAGTTTGTGTGTGATTGACACGTCTCTGTTGGTAAGAGGCAGTTATGTCTGTAAACCTTTTGTTGCTTGATCTCATTTTCTTTTAGAATGGAGTGATTGTAGATGTACCATCTATTTAAGTGCAGGATAGAGACGGTGAAGCCAGTTGAAACTAGGAATAACTGGAATTCAGTGAAGGTATCAAGGGAATACATGACAAAGTTTGGCAGTAGACTGAAGAATAAGCTCTACACGTGTTTGCAGAGACAATTCAAACTCTTAAAAAAGCAATCCTCCATAGATTATTGATTATTATAATGATGTGCCTCAGTCTCTTTGGCCTCATTATCCATGTGTCCTTTCAGAACAGGTTATCCACACTGTATGTGTGTGTTGACCTGGCCTTACACACCATGTGTCCTTTCAGACCACACGACCTGTGTCCTTTCCACAGTGTATGTGTGTGCGGACCAGGCCTCACAGACCATGTGTCCTTTCAAACCAGGTTATACACAGTGTATGTGTGTGCGGACCAGGCCTCACAGACCATGTGTCCTTTCACAGTGTATGTGTGTCGGACCAACAGACCATGTGTCTTTCAAACCAGGTTATACACAGTGTATGTGTGTGCGGACCAGGCCTCACAGACCATGTGTCCTTTCAAACCAGGTTATACATAGTGTGTGTGTGTATGATGACATCACTGACCTTGTAAACCACACTGTCCTTATAGACCGTGTTTTTGAAAAGTCTTTACAAACCCCTGAAAAGTCTTGAAAACAGTCATTTTTTATATCTCAGTGCAACAAAGGAAATCTTTAAATTTTAAGCCGTGTATAGGTTCTGTGATTTTTTTTCATGATCATTGATATGATTTTCGAGGCTCTAGCACCACGGGAACCCAGTGTCCCCCGTATACCTATGTACAGTCTGGTTTAAAGGGATTTTAGAAAAAATGTCCTTACAACGTCTCAAACGTGTGTGTGTGTGTGTGTGTGTGTGTGTGTGTGTGTGTGTGTGTGTGTGTGTGTGTGTGTGTGTGTGTGTGTGTGTGTGTGGTGTGTGTGTGTGTGTGTGTGTGTGTGTGTGTGTGTGTGTGTGTGTGTGTGTGTGTGTGTGTGTGTGTGTGTACGCACGCACTTGTTTTCAACTCCTGGTGGGTTCCATAACCTGAGATTCCACTCACGTCATGGGGACTGGTTTTACGTGGTGGGGCCCGAACACCGGACCCCACTGGTCCAAGCTTAATAATCAATGGGTAATGCTTTTCTAACGGTCCTTATGCAGTCTCTGTAAAAATATGGAAAGGACCCCTGGAGGTTTACTTTCCTGAAAAAAGTGTGTTATGTGTCGGAACCCTGGTGGTGGGTTGCGGGATATCAAGGAGGGGCACACTGGGGCAATTTCAGTCCAGCAGGCTGGAGCCAATCATGGAGCAGCACAACAGAGGAAATCAGGTGTCAGGCTAGAAAAAGGTGCAAGTGTGTGGTTCATTAGGCTGCAAGAAATCATGGAGGAGCACACTGAAGCGCACGCTTACAAACCACTGGTAAGTGCTGACTACAAGTCATGACTTCAAATTGTTATATAGAATGATTACAAATTATTTGTTGTTTGTGCAGCTTAGTCAAGAGTCCCTAATTGATGAAGTCGACTCAGATTCTGACGATTTAACTGTCAAGAAGAAACCTGTAAAAAAGTATGGAAAAAGAAAAATCAAAAACACTTTTCTTCAAGACTCGGAAAGTGACGAACCAAAGGCAAATAAGATTGTTATCATGCAGCTGCAAAAGAAGAAAAATGGGGGGCGAGTATACAGCAAGAGACACTTCTGCCTCTACTGTTCAATGTCCTGCCACAAAATGTCCCGTCATTTGACTAGAAAACATGGAAATGAAAGTGACGTAGCCAGAGCATTGGCTCTACCTGTGAAATCTAAAGCACGTAAACTTCAGTTTGATTTGATCAGGAATAGTGGAAACCGTGAGCACAATTTTGAGGTTTTAAAGGCCGGCATTGGAACTTTAGTCCCAGCTAAACAGCCAAATTGCCCAGTTAAATCCAGTGAGTTTTTGCACTGTATAGACTGTGGGGCATTGCTTAAGCGAAAGTCGCTGTGGAGGCATGTGGCCAGGTGCCGGCTTTCACAGAAAGATGCCCAGGCTAAACCAGGTAGAAGTAGGGTCCAGTCCCTCTGCTCCCTAGCCCAGCCTGTACCGGAGGGCATCAGCAAAAAGCTGTGGTCTTTAATTTCGGCAATGCATCAGGATGAGGTCACGGGTGTTGTCAAAGCAGAAAAGGGGATTCTGAGACTCGGAGAGCACCTGTACTTAAAACACGGGCATGATAAGACAAAGCATGATTACATTAGGCAGAAAATGAGAGAAGTCGGTAGGTTAATTAACGAAGCAAAAACCGCAGGGAAACTGAAAACAATTAAGGATTTCTTTATTCCTTCCAACTTTAACCATGTGATTGATGCAGTCAGGTCTGTGGCTGGATATGATGAGGAAACAAATCAATACAAGACTCCATCCTTGGCCCTCAAACTCGGCCATAGCCTCAGAAAGCTAGCAGATATTCTTGAATGTGACTCAAAAATGGAGCATTGTGTTGATGAACTATTTATTAAAAACCTCCAACGAAGCCGGCTGCTTTTTGAGAAGAGGTGGGACGTCTGTGTTTCTTCTGCTGCCCTACAGACCCTCCGGCAAGCCAAGTGGAACACTCCGGACCTGCTCCCTCTGACTGAGGACGTTAGAGCCATGCATGCACATATTGAGGTATGTCGACCTGAATATGTGCAAACCCTAATAAGTGAGCCAACGTCTAAGCATTGGTCTAAACTGGCAGTTTTGACTCTTTGTGAGGTCATCATTTTCAATCGAAGAAGGGAAGGTGAGGTTTCAAAGATGCCACTGACAGCCTTTACCTTAAGAAGTAAGACTGGGATCCATTCTGACATTGCTCTGGGACTGTCCCAACTTGAGAAAAAGCTGTGTCAGCATTTTCAACGCATTGAAATTAAAGGGAAAAGAAGTCGGAAAGTGCCGGTTCTTTTGACTCCTGAAATGATTGCTTCGATGGAGGTGCTGGTGGAGAACAGAAGGGCCTGTTCCATCTCTGACCATAACCCATACTTCTTTTCCCGCCCGGGCGCAGACACCCACATCAGGGGATCAGACTCCCTACGCCAGGTAGCCAAAGAATGTGGTGCGGTGCATCCAGAGATGCTATCCTCAACCAAACTTAGAAAGCACATAGCTACTATGTCTACAGTTCTCAATATGAAAGAGAATGAGATGGACATACTTGCCAACTTCCTCGGCCATGACATTCGCATCCACAGGCAATATTACAGACTACCAGAGGGGACACTGGAGCTGGCCAAAATCAGCAAAGTGTTGATGGCCATGGAGCAGGGAAGAGTGACGGAATTCGAAGGAAAGAGCCTCGACCAGATACAAATTGAGCCTGAAGGTAATTCTTGATATTATTAAAATATGTATGATTTTTTTCCCCTAAAGGCCACTTGTATTTTTATTTTCTGTGCGACAGGGAGAGCAGTAGAGATCCTCTCACAAACGGACGGGCTAAAAGAAACTTCAAGCGGAGAACCTTCAACCATTCATCCAGATGCACCCCATGGTAGTGGCAGTGCCCCTTCTGGTAAGTGTACCAGGTGGGGGATTACAGCCAGGCTGCTTGGTCCTCACCCTGGGAGTGTATATTGCTAATATATTTTTATTTCTCTCCCTAGAACGTGTAAGAAAGCCATGGTCTGCATCTGAGGTGAAGGCTGTGGAGAAGACCATGACACCTTTCATACAGACTGGAAAGGTCCCTGGGAAGTCTCACTGCCTGGCCTGCATTAATGCCTCACCAGATGACCTTAGACATCGGACATGGAGTGGCATTAAATTCTATGTCAAAAATAGAATCACTGCAATTCGAAAACAAAATCTAAAATAAAATTCCTTTAAAATAGTTGTTTGGTTTCTATTGACTGTTTTGTATTACTTAAAGTCTTGGTAAAAAAAGATTATGTCTATGGGTCCCATTCTGAACGGCCCTGTCAAAGGGACCCACCAGGTAACAAAAACGTGTATGTGTGTGTGTGTGTGTGTGTGTGTGTGTGTGTGTGCGTGCATTTGTGTGTGTGCATGACAGTAATGTTTTGACTGTATTTCTAAATTCTAAACTCTCGATCAGTCGTCTCACTGTTCTTTTATCAACCCCCTTTCGTAAATCTTGTTTTCATTAAGACTAATGTTTGTCCCTGTCCCGTGTCTCACCCGCGGACAGTTGATGGTGCACTGGTCTGTCCCCGGAAACACCTGAAACCAGAGACACATTATGAACACGTCATTGATCACAAAGAGCCTTTCTAGAACGTACTGGATGTTTTGGATTATGAGATTAACTAAATTTAACTACTAAACTAACTAAACAGAAACATAGGACACCCTTGAAAAGTCTTAGCCTGACAATGAATGGCATACATTTTTTGTGAAAATGTATTTATTATACTTAGCCTTTATTTAACCCAGAAAGTCCCAATGAGATAAAGATGAAGCAATGTCCGAACATCAACGTGTTCAAATATAAATACAAACACAAGATTTATAGAGACGTATTGAGTCACCACTAGAGGGTGCACTAGTATCAATTGATATTTTATTGGTCAAGCTGGAGTGTTGCTGCTTGGAATGGTTGTCCTTTCTATTGCTCAAAATTCTGTAAGAAGAGAGTTGTAGTTTCTTTGAGAAGTTCCCTCTCCAAATGTGATCACAAGCATGGTCTTTTAATGCAACACACAATATAGAAACATTGCCAAAATAATCAGCTGGTCCTCACTATAATATTGTCCAGAGGATGGAAATGACATCTGGAGGGCAGCAAGATCCTTCCTCTGAGTGTAAAAGTGACATTATTATTATTATAATATCAATGGGCCTCATTCACGAACGGTTCTTAGGAACAGATTTGTACGTAAATCCTACTTACGCGGTTTTTACGAAGAAAGTGGCATTCACGAATATTTCTCGTAACCAGAATTTCTCTTGGGCAAGTACAAATCCTACGAGTCCTCAGGAGCACTCGTACGCATTCAGTGCCGACATGTTCACACGCCGGGGTTGTCCTCTTTGGTGAAGTTGAATAAAAATACAACATTCCAGTGATATGTCCGTCATATCGATGTATGTATTTATTTATTTGTAGTAATCTTTATTAGTAATCTTTATTTATATACCGCCTTTTTCACTGCAGATCTGGCCTACTTTTTAATTCATTTTGAAATGAAATGTGCCAACGCTTTATCAAATACATTGGAAATCTTGCCGTGTATTAGTGACCCCTTCCTATTTATAGGGGGCATTTCTTTATCCACGGGCCACAGAACAACGGCATATATACTGCTGCTGCAGGAGGTTACTGCAGGGTCCGCGCTGAGTCTCTGCGCTGGTCTCTCCTATGGATCTATACGGGTCTGCGCTGGTCTCTTCCATGGATCTATACGGGTCTGCACTGGTCTCTCCCATATACGGGTCTGCACTGGTCTCTCTCCATACGGGTCCGTGCTGCCTGCTCCTGGATCCATACGGGTCCGCGCTGGTCTCTCAAGTCTGGTCTATGCGGTCTATCTTCGGTCCGCGCTGGTCTCCGCGCACCGGTCTCTCCAGTCAGGTCACTACAGTCTATGCGGTCTCTACAGGTCCGCGCTGGTTTCTGTGTGCTGGTCACTCCAGTCTCTCCTCGGGTCTGCATTGGTCTCAGCGCTGGTCCGCGCTGGATCTCCTCCCAGGGTCCAAAATATTTTGAGATTAATCTCAAAACATTTTGAGATTCATCTTTAAAATAATACATAATATATTTTTAAATTAAGCTCATAACATTTTGAGATTAATCTCATCATATTCTTAGATTAATCTCATAATTTTGCTAGTTCGACTTTATTATCATAATATTTCGACTTTTAAGTCAACATTTTATAACTTTATTCTCAGTCTGGTAAAAGAAGAAAAAAGGCCTGCTTTAGGCCTGTTGCTGTTTCCTCAGCCGTCTGCACACGGCCCTGCATCCCCTTATATGGGCATTAATGGGCGGTTACTTATGCTAAGTACCTATGCTAATGAAGCACCTGGCACGCGCGCTGTACTTAAGAGGAAATGGGATTCATCAATCTGAGAGAACAGCTGCGAACAATTCAGCGGCTTACGAGTGCGTTGATGAATCCCACGTAGGGATTTCTTAGAAATCTACTTAAGGACAACTTGAGAAGAAAGTTGAGTAGTTTCTTACGAAGTTATTCGTGAATGAGGCCCAATGTGTCTTCATAACAAGCTTATGGCCATCAGTACTTTTGGCAGTAACTAAATAATGAAATGGTCACCTTTTTTACTGGTTTCCATCTTCTGCTAAGCACAAGCCTTGCCTTGCCTTGCTTAGTAGAGATCTGACTGAAACAAGACTGTTGCTGCAGTTGTGCCTTGTGTGCTTTTGTGTCCTTGTTCTGTATAATGTGTATTGTGAAATTAAAAGCATTATTGTAGTTTGGGGGGATCATAAGGTTTATGCTTCAGCCCAGCAGAAAATAATCAAAAACAACACAAAGCAAATCAAAAATAAATGTGTCTTGTTTGTGTAGTGATTACTTCAGGAATGCGTGCGATCCCACAGAGCAGGTCAGACAGCTCTGTGTGCAGAGCGTCCAGTTGGGAAGCATCGGCTGCGAACAGGACGTTCTGACCGCTGTTGTCGGTCACCGCTCTGCGCAGCTCCTCAGAGTCGGCCTGAGCCACGCCCAGAGCCAGGACGGTCACCCCTGGAGAGAGAGAGGGCATGTGAGAGAGTGACCCCTGGAGAGAGAGAGAGGGCATGTGAGAGAGTGACCCCAGAGAGAGAGAGAGGGCATGTGAGAGAGTGACCCCTTGAGGAAGAGGGCATGTGAGAGAGTGACCCCAGAGAGAGAGAGAGGGCATGTGAGAGAGTGACACTTGGAGAGAGAGAGAGGGCATGTGAGAGAGTGACCCCAGAGAGAGAGAGAGGGCATGTGAGAGAGTGACCCCTTGAGAGAGAGGGCATGTGAAGAAGGGAGAGGGCACCACAGAGGGCACTATGTTTTTTTTTTTAAATCCTTTTTATCATTTGCATAGTCTGAACTGTTTGATTCTCTGATCTGTATTGGTAACTCTGTCCTCAAGAAGGACTCACTGGTCTTAAGACTACTGACAACAGACCTGTGGCACTGACATCGATAGTCATGAAGTCATTTGAGAACCTGGTCCTCTCCCAACCCTAGTCCTTCACCTCCGCTTTCCTGGACCCCCTGCAGCTTGCCTACAGAGCCAACAGATCTGTAGACACTGCCATAAACCTAGCATCCTGCTTGTGACCTTCAGCTCTGCCTAAAACACCATCCCTGCTCCAGGACAAGCTCAACGTGTCTGATTCCACCTTCTGTCAGGAAAGCAGTGATCCACCACCTGACACCATCCGACAACAATAAGTCTGCCTACAGGAGGGAGGTGGACCGGCTGGTGTCCTGGTGCAGTGGTAACAATACACTCACCCATCACCTCTGTGGAGTTTGTGACTTCCTGTTTTGATAAATTAAGCTAAAGCGCATATTCAGTCTGGAAGACAGAAGAACTAAGGTCATTGCCCCTTGCTACATGACAACAGCATCACACTCAGCACACTGACAATCCTCACCTGCCAGTGTTTAAGCATTGCCCTTCATCAAGCCTTCATATTGTATAGGAAGCTGTCATTCAAGCAGCAGTTTTCATTCATGCAGAAACCCTCCTCCTCCCCATCACTGCCTCGTCAGCTGGACCAGCTCTTGCACTCTTAGCTCCCACCAGTGGATTTCATCTCATAATCTCTATTTATATATCCCCTTCTGCAATTGTCATGCAGTGCTCTGCCGGAGTTTGGCGCATAGACTAATTTCTTGTACAGTAATTGTACGTACGAAATTTTTTATAGCCCTAATTCAATTGAACTACGAGCTACAGCTGTGTCAATTTAGTGTGCAGCTGTATAAAGTAGGCATTTTAAGGAGATGTTGTTATGAAGACTCTTATACCTGGGCTAGTTTCACACCTTCTTTGTCAGCACATATCAACTATGGTCTCTTTCTGCTCTATCTCTCTCTGCTCTTTGTCTCTCTTTAGTCTCCCGGGTTTTTTTCTCTGCTCTCTCTGGTCTCTCTCTATTCTCTACAGTCTCTATATCAACTAAGGTCTCATTATTTTCTTTTTTGTTTTCTCACTTTAATCATATTTCTAAAGTGCAGTTTGGCAGTGTCAAATACAATTAGCATGTGGTTTTATATGTCTCTCTTTTTACTATAATGCACACAGAGGTATGATGTGGTGGTGATTCCTGCTGAAATCCCTACTGCAGCTTGTGTGTGTCGTACCTGTGGCTCGGAGGTAGTTAGCAGCCAGAGTGAGGTTGTCTTCCGATCTGCGGTCTGTGATTATCACCACGGCTCCCGGGACTCGAGGCCTGCGACCGGCTGATGGTGTGAGCAAGTACTGAGTCGTGAAGTTCACTGCCTGGCCTGCAGAGGGAGACAAAACCAAACCATTGTAGATAATGGAGAGAACTCCCTTGTGTTTTTCCCATTGATCTAATATAATATCTGTATAAGTTATCTAGATTAACAAAAGGCCACCTACTGTGCTGCTGGCGAAATTCTCTATTAGGAATGGACTGACCGAGTGTGACATCACCATAGTGTTTGTGAATGTGGACGAAACCGATTTGAACACAGGCTAGCTGGAGCCAAATTCATTTTCTTCTGCTTTATCTCTTGCCAGGAAACGGGGGCAGCAGTCTCAGTAGAGACACCCAGACAATTCTTCCAGGTCAACTAAGAAACACAGTCCTTTCAGTGTCTCCCAAAGGTCTCCTCGCGGTGACACATGCCCAGAACACCTCCCCAGGGAGACGTCCAGGAGGCCTCCCAAACAGTTGGCCAAGCCACAACAACTGTCTCCTCTCCACATGGAAACGCAGTGGCTCTTCTCCGAGCTTCTCCTGTGTGACTGAGCGCCTCACCCTATCTCTAAGGGGGAGACCAATCACTCAGAATAATTAGGCCCGCATGGGTACCAAAGACTTCATACAGATGGACAATGCTAACCCACTAGCTCAATGAAGCCCAATAGGGAAGTGCTCAAGGATGAAGATTTTGAAGTAAACTCCTCCAACTCAGCAACAGTTTGTGTCACACTCACTATTTGGGCTTAAAGAATCTGTAGTTTAGTGCTCTCATTGTTATATTGTGTTTATACCGTCTTTCTAAATCCAGATATGAGCCATACAAGGATTGACTAATCAGATGCCTTCATTCGCCTGTAATGGTGCGACGCTAACGTCATTAGAATAAATGCCCATATAAGGAAATTGGCTCCAGCTAGGCTAACACTATGGTGATGTCACACTCACTTAGTAAAGTTGAATGTTGTAAATGTTGTGTTACAGACCTATGTTATTCCCTGGACCCTCGTCGAACGGAGTGGACTGGATTTCCTGCAGCAGCGAGTCGGATCTGCTGTGGCGGTTCAGCAGGAACCAGATTTTGGGTCTGTATCCATAAACGACAATTCCCATCTGCAACATTCACAAACACAATGTCACAGAACAACTGTGAAGACAGAGAGGGATCCCTCACTGCCAAATGAAACCAGATTGTTGGCTTTTGGTTCTTTAAGTACATTTGTGACATGTTAGTCCCATATGAACCAACTCGGACAATGAGGAGCACAGGGACTGGCCTCCTGCTGGTCCCAGAGCCAAGACTAAACATGGGGAGGCAGCATTTCTTCCTGAAAATGTAACACAAGCTTCTACTCTGAAAAAAACAGTTCTGTTGAGCTGAACTGAAGCTCAACAAACTGAAGGACCTTCACTCTTTTTAATGCAGTGATTATTGATGATTTTATGGCCTTGTATGATTTTACTGTTTTCTTTCTTGTTTTGTCTAAGCATTTTGCGTTACCTGTGTATGAAGTGGGCCATACCGTAACAATATTCAAACAGAACCTCAAAGCATAATACATGTTCTGTTTTTCTTGATTAAATTTAAAGGGGACAGACCACCGTGTTTTTTTATTCTTAACCTTGTTTCTTGTGTGATTTTTGGTTTGTATTTTTGCAAGAACGGCTCGTATTTTCAGATTTTTTCCACTGTTTCTTTATTTTATTTGAGACAGTGGTTATCCCACTCCCTATGGACCAGTGACTCCTTTCAGCTTTTTTTCTAACCACATTTATTGTGTTCTGATTGTTCTCTATTTTGTTGTCCTCTGAGACAACTGCTGTAGTGTTTTAGGGCAATAAACAAATAAACTTTACCTTTTTATACTAAATGTACAATCCTTTGAGTCCTTTGCTTCATCCTGTAATGTTACAGTCTCGGATGTGTAACTTTATTAAACAGCCGATTGTGTGATAATAGACATTATCATAGCATGTTTGGTCTTTAAAATATGTAAAGACATATAAAAGTAATGTGCAGAGCTCTAACTGTAATATGCATATTTGAAAGGTCTTTTTTTTTTTCACAGCCAATATTGTCTATAGTAAAATTTGCTTGCGTGATTGTGCCTTTTTCTAACTTGTGCTTTGTGGGTAATGAGTCTATAATAAAAGTGTCATTTGTGCGTGTTTGCACCTGTGAATCTCTCTCCCCGAAGGTGTTGATGGAGCGGGCAGCACTGGTCAGCAGCGCCCTCAGGGGGCCGGCAAGGGGCACTCTGTCTGTGGAGGCAGGAACCAGGAACACCACGTCCAGACGACCTCCTGCACAAACTGAAACCAGAGAGGAGCATTACAGACCACTGACCACTGACTGAGACCAGAGAGGAGCATTACAGACCACTGACCACTGTCTGAGACCAGAGAGGACCATCACAGACCACTGACCAGCAGCATCAGTAGTAGTAGTAACAGTAGCATCAGCAGTAGTAGTAACAATAGCAGTAATAGTATTTAGTTGTACATAAGATACCTCTATTGCCCATCTTTTTTTTTACTGTTTTCACATTTCCTGACTATTTGCACACGCTGATCTTATTGAGGCCAAATATATAATGTAAATGTTTCCATTTCATCATATCTCATCTGATAGGAATAGCAAAAACAGTAGGGGCAGCAGGGGCAGCAGCAGCAGCAGCAGCAGCAGCAGTACCTGGGTGTTCATCCACGAAGCTCTCTGATCCCAGGCCGCTCTCAAACGTGGGCTGCAGAGTGAAGCGGTATCTCCGACCCAAACGCAGACCACCGACGAGATACGAGAGTGAGGAGGAGGGCAGCGAGATGGAGAGACCGGCTCCTGGGTCTGAGGAACCGCAAACACAAACACAAACATGCAGCTGAAACAACGGAAATAATTAAAGTCATAGAAAAAAAGGGTTGGAAAGAGGCGGGAAATGAGGGGTAATTTTCTGCAAAGGTGTTGGTAAATTGCGATGTAACGTTAAGCTTGGGAAATGTTTTAAATATTCCATAAATTATTCAATGTAACATTGTATCATAGTTATAGTTTTATCAAAATGTTTGAAATGTTGCACATAATTCTATTATGAAATACCGATCCAAAGATATAGTGTCAATAGTAGTGCAGGTTCTTTCAGTCTTATACAGTGACTTAAAGTGACTTGTTGTACAGTCTGACAGCGGTGGGGATAAAGGCTCTGTGGTAGCGCTCCTTCTTACACTGAGGGTGTCTCAGTCTTCCACTGAAGGAGCTCCTCAGCTCCTCTACAGTCCTGTGCAGTGGGAGGTGTTGTCCATGATGGAGGTGACTTTGACTAGCACCCTCCTGTCCCTCACCTCCTCCACAGAGTCCAGGGGGCCTTTATCCCCACCGCTGTCAGACTGTACAACAAGTCACTTTAAGTCACTGTATAAGACTGAAAGAACCTGCACTACTATTGACACTATATCTGATTGCCACTTTAAATTACCACTTTTAAATTGCCACTTTTTATTGTACATAATATATCCTGTATTTAACATGTTTGCACATTTCCTCTCTTTTTGCACAATCTGGGTGTTCCTATCCATGCCAAATGTGACATGTAAATTTCTCCCCTGTGAGATAAAAAAGCATACTGTATCTTATCTTATCTTAAAAAAACACAAACCATTAGGTAAGTATGCTTGATGCTTATCAATGAAGAAAATAATCTTCATCCTTTGTTTGTTGTGTATATCTGTAAAATAATCTGTCTTGATTGTCATTGTCCTTAAATAATAACTACATATAAAACAGTTGCCGTCTTTACCCGTCTCTTCTCTCCAGCGCAGGATATACCCAGTGACACCAGACACAGTGTTCCAGGCCAGACGCACCGTGGTCTCGGCCACTTCAGTGACCTGAAGCCGAGTGACGGGCCGAGGGGAGGTGCCAGCTGCAACATGAGAACAGGGGATATGGTTCCATTAAACACACAAAACATATTACGAAATAACAATAACAGTGAGAACAGGTTATAATAACAGCAAAATAGCATCAACATAAGCCCTGTTTCCACCAGCCCTAGTCTGCTCTAGTCTGCTCTGTGTTTCCACTGGTCCTGTTAAACCAGTTTCCAGGCCCAGCTGGTACTAAACAGTTCTAACTGACAGTGATTGGCCAGAGAGCTGCTGGAAGCCAAGGTTACCATGGAATTTCCCCAGATTCTGGTTTGCTGTGGGTAGGTTTCTAGGATACGGTACCAGATACTAAAGCATAATGGAAACACAACCAGGTAGAGCCGAGTAGAGCAGAGCCAAGAGGAGGAAGAGCCAAGGAGCAGACCCCTCTCACAATATGGGCCTCCCTGAGGTTTCTGTTCGCACTGGTTTTTTACGTGATTCCTTGTCGATGCGGGAGGATCTAAGGACGGTGACGATCCGGGACATTCAAGAATATTTCTGGACAGTAGTCATCCCACTCCCTATTGACCAGTGATCATATGTGTTTGTAATTATTGCATTTCCTGCATTTGAACTTTGATTCTCTGATCTATTGTTGAGGAATCCACAAGGAACCTGTTGTGATTTAGAACAATACACAAACACATTGAATTCAATTGAAATAAGCATTAAGCTGCCGGTCTGCTGTGTTTAATACTATGTATAATGCAGTGACGGCAGTCAGGGGAGTTTTGAGAAAAATATATATATTTTTGTTGTTTTAGTTATTTTTCACTGTCCTATGATTTGTTGTTTGATGCGGAGCAGAGTCAGCAGGAAGTTTGTGGATGTAATTGCATTGGCGATTAAATGCTATTTTATTAGAATAATGATGGTAAATCTGACTTTTAGAGTCAGTGCCTCCCCAATCACAATCCTCACTGCACGTCACTGGTATAATGTCACAAAACTCACGTGTGGTGACTCTGACCGACACCGGAGACCCCTCTCTGTTCTGCACCAGAGCCATGACCTGCACCTCGTACTGGACTCCAGGGTCCAGCTGGTCCAAGTCCACCGCGGTCTGGTCCCCACTCACCACCCGACTGCGCTCCTCGCCCCCTAAAGGCCAGAGCAGGCAACAGCAGGCAGGACAAACAGTATTTTAGTATTGATCATAAATGTGTGTGTGACAGATGTCCTCTACCTGATTTATACAGCCTCATAATGGTCCCAAATAAACCATAGGCAGACAGATAAACACACACACACACACACACCGAGACACGCACAACACACACACACATACACAGACACACACACACCCACCGATACACACACAACACATACCCAAACAAACACACAAGAAATAGGAACAAACACACTCACTCACGCAGACAGACACACTCACACACACACACACACACAGACCATCAGTTCTCCTCCAGGACACTCTATAGGATGTTGCTCCCTGGACTCCGACCCATGTGATCCGGACCACCTCCCCTCTGCCCTCCTGCACCTGGAGCGAGGTCACCGTCCCCACCAACGACTGGTCCGACTCTGCGCAATAGACAGAATAGAATAATACATGTGTTTTATACAGCACTGTGTTTGAACACGCAAAGACGCCATAAAAGCATTATTCTCTCCTAAAACTGTAGCCACAGCAGGACTGAGAGCTACGGGAAGACTGCGGTAGTCCTCTGAATTATCACCAAGGTGCAGAGACCAGAGAGAGACCAGAAAGAGATCAGAGAGAGACCAGAGAGAAACCAGAGAGGCTCTACATTTTAGTGAATTCCCACCGCTAGTTTTACCGGGTTTTCCATTTCTAAAGTGAATGAGAATGCAGCGGCACCTGTGCGCACGGTCAGAGTGGCGGGGGCCCCCTCCCTGGAGCCGTTCAGAGCAGACACCAGGATGCTGTACGAAGAGTCCGACTGCAGTCCGTCGATGGTGAAGGACGACACGTCAGTCGCCACAGTACGCGTCGCCTCCAGCCCTGAAGGAACACACATGAGCAGAGGTTAGAGGAGAGGGACAGTGGCTGACAGACAGACAGAAACAACAGACCAACACTTACAATCAGACACACAAACACATGTGTACAGTATTGATACAGTGTGGGCTGTGCAGTGGTCTCATCTACCATTCAGACTTAAATATATAGTGTATAGTTATTTATAAATAACATAAGATATCTGACCGTCGTCTCTTCTCCATGTGATCTTGTATCCTGTGGCCCTCGAGGCCAGGGCCCAACTGATGCGGATTCTCTGTGATGTCACGTCCACAATGCGCAGCCCGGACACAGAGCCCACGTTCGGGTTTGTCCGGGCCGAGAGCGTGACCACCTCGCCGGCCCGGTCACCCACCAGAGCGGACACGCCGATTGCCACAGCAACGTCAGGGGACAGGGCGTCGATGGTGAACGAGGTGGTCTCCAGGCCAATAGTGCGAGTCTGCTCCGGGCCTGTGACACCAGATTCAGATTCAGTTTGTTTGCCATTTGCAGTAAAACCACGTTGGAATAGATGTACAAAAGTACCCAGTAAGCACCAGTCAGGATAGATAGATACTTTTTTGATCCCTGTAGGAGACATTCAGGTGTCCAGTAGCAACAGAAACACATCCATCCACACAAACAAAACAAATAAATAGATAATTCTAACTAGAATTCTAACTAATTCTAAGTAGCTAACAATAGTATTAAAATGCAACAACACTTTAGGTCAAAGCAGCAAAGATGGAACATTCAGAAGTATGTCATGTTAACGTCTTTCAAAAGAACTACGTTTTAGCTCAAGATAAAATTTACCAGAGAGAGACAAGAGAGAGAGAGCAGAGAGAGAAATGAGAAAGAGAGCAGAGAGAGAGACTAAAGATAGACCAGAGAGAGACCATGGGGAAACCAGAGATAAAGAACAGAGAGAAACCAGATGGAGAGTTTAGAGAGAGAGACCAGAGAAAGTGACTAGATTTAAGAAGAAAAAAAGTTCAGGATGACAAGGGACACTAAAATCCTCACAAAATCCGACCTTTATGAAAGCTGTAGGTTCTCTGTCAGCTGAGGTTGAGCTGTTTTAGTTTACATTGAGTTCTATGGGGAAAATTTCTGGGTAGCCCACGTGAATTTAGTCTGGTTTAGTCTGCAGTACCGCGAGAATCCCCTGAGCACATGGGTCCTTCAGCTCCAAGCTAGTAATACCCTATCCAGTTATTATAATAGATACATGGACCAGACAGAGACCAGTGAAAGACCAGAGAGAGGCCAGAAAGAGAGACTAGGAAGAGATCCTTCAACCGATACTAGTGCATCCTGTCAGGAGCTCAGCGTAGAGCCCACTCTACTTTGGAATGAGCTTCCTAGGGAGATGAGAGATCAAACTAATCTACATATTTTTAAAAGAAAACTCAAATATCAAATGTGCAATGCATCATTATAATGCATGGCTTCATGCCTTGTGTTGTTTACGGATGCTGACTTGGCAATTGATCTAATTGATCTATTTGATCTATGCTTTTAACATTATGGTCGTGAATTCATGTATTGTATTGAATAATGTACTGTATTAATGAATGTATTTGTTTTTGGTATTTAAATTTTTTTTTTTGTAATACACTCGTCTTAACTGGGACCCCAGGAAGATTAGCAACCACTTTGGTGGAAGCTAATGGGGATCCCCAATAAACAATAAACAATAAACAAACTCTCACCGTTGCCTTGTCTCCACGTCACCCTGTACCCCGTGGCTCCAGGGACAGCGCTCCAGCTGATGCGGATCCTCCTGCTGCTCACATTGGTCACTCTGAGGTTGGACACTCGCTCCACCACTTGCTCTGAAAAAAACACACACTGGACATTTGTTTCCAAGCCAAAGCAGTAGAGTAGACAGATAAAAATTGCTGCATATGCTGGTATATTCACAGAAATGTTCATTAATATGCACTGTCCCTGTAATAAATACATAATTAAATAAAACAATTGCCTTCACTGTGTCCCGAAAAGTGTAGAATTACTAACGGCGTGTTTGAGGCATCACTAACCATTCAAATTCAGTTTTGAGAGCGGTAAATCTGTTCATCTGTCTGTCTATCTGTCTGTCTGTCTGTCTATCTACCCTTTTATCCATCTAACTACCTAACTACCTGTCTCTCTTTCCACCCATCTATCTATCTCTTATGCCGATAAGAATACTGGTCAGGAATTGCCCTGCTTTTCTTTTAGTATGAATACTTTCTGAATTTGTTTCTTGTTTTTACAACCCTACTTTTAGATCTAATGTTGGATTCTCTTGGCAACTGTCTCTTCTATCTCTCTTGTCTCTGTTCCAAAATTCATCTACTTCATGAAATTTTATTGCAGATATTCATTAGTGAGATTCTGAATCATCTCTATGTTTATGTCTGACTCTCTGCAGCCCGTGGCCATTGGCAGCATTTCAACTCCCCATTAATAAAGGTAATAATTGTTCCAAGCTCAACATGAGCAAAACCAACTACTAAAAAATCCAACAATGAAATGCAGGTGAAATGTAGTTTTTTCAGATGTGACCAATAAAACCTGCTCCAAAAAATAACGCAGATTTGTCCAATTTCAAACATTCAAACATCATCAACATTTTATAAATGAGTTTCTTCCCCAGTCCCACAGGATAGAGCCGCTGCTCCTCCACGTGGAGAGGAGTCAGTTAAGAGTTTTTCGCAGTCGCTTTGGTGCTTTTCTCAGAATGAAAGTTCCCACAACTATTAGTTCAACCTCCAAAACATTGAGTTGAACATTTGTGCACATCATCGCAGCAGTTTCTCATTCCTTTGAACAAATGTATCAGTTACTTTCATACAATTCTCTGCAGTTTTATAACATTAAGGTGGCTCTGGCGTCTGCTTGAGATGCCTCCTGGACTCCTCTCTAGGGAGGTATTCTGGGCATGTCCCACCGGGAGGAGACCAGGTCTCTCTTTGGTCTCACTCTCTCTGGTCTCTCTCTGGTCTTTCTCTCTGATCTCTCTCACTGGCCTGGATACTGATTCTAATCTTGAAAATCTTTTCATTCTATGTTTTAAAATTTTGCTAATAATTTGCAAATAATGAGTTGAAAATAGGAAAAAGGAGGAGGTTATTGACCTTTATCTAACCCTGAAACTCCTACAGAGTTTTCAGAAGTTCAGGACCCGAGAGAGGGGACGGGAGTGGGGTGGGTGAGACTGTTCCAGGGGCCTGGAGCAAACCTATACAGACACAGAGAGAACATGCAAACTCCACCCAGAAAGACCCTGTACTGACCAGGATTCAAACTCACAACCTTAAGAAGCGAGGGGGCTAACCACTCAGCCACCGTGCCGTTGTTATCACCTGGTTTGATGTAGACCGTGACTGGATCTCCCTCGCTGTCTCCCACCATCGCCGTGACGCTGACACCATAGGACACGCCCACAATGAGGTCGCGTAGGTCCAGAGTCGTCTGGTTCCCAGGAACACTGCGGATTTCATCACTGCCGTCTGGAGAACGTAAATGATAGTACAATGGAATCAAATATTTGAGTGTAATTGTGTATCCTTTTTTACAGCTTATTTCTAATTTGCATACAACAACATATAACTGCTGGTATAACATTGACAGGTACCATTATTGAAAATCAGAAGAAAGCTCTGGTCTCTCTCTCTCTGTTCTCTCTCTCTATTATTTCTCTGGTCTCTCTGACTGGTCTTTCTGACTGGTCTCTCTGACTGGTCTCTCTGACTGGTGTCTCTGACTGGTCTCTCTGACTGGTCTCTCTGACTGGTCTCTCTGACTGGTCTTTCTGACTGGTGTCTCTGACTGGTCTCTCTGACTGGTCTCTCTGACTGGTCTCTCTGACTGGTCTCTCTGACTGGTCTCTCTGACTGGTGTCTCTGACTGGTCTCTCTGACTGGTCTCTCTGACTGGTCTTTCTGACTGGTCTCTCTGACTGGTCTCTCTGACTGGTCTCTCTGACTGGTCTTTCTGACTGGTCTCTCTGACTGGTCTCTCTGACTGGTGTCTCTGACTGGTGTCTCTGACTGGTCTCTCTGACTGGTCTCTCTGACTGGTCTCTCTGACTGGTCTCTCTGACTGGTGTCTCTGACTGGTCTTTCTGACTGGTCTCTCTGACTGGTCTCTCTGACTGGTCTCTCTGACTGGTCTTTCTGACTGGTCTCTCTGACTGGTCTCTCTGACTGGTCTCTCTGACTGGTCTCTCTTGGGCCTATTGTACACGTTCTTAGTGGTAGGGAAAACCAGAGCATCCGGAGTAAACATATGCAGACACGGGGAGAACATGCAAACTCCGGTCAGAAAAGCCCTGTTCCGACCAGGATTTGAACCTCTCTGGCTCATCATGCAAATATATTCTTGCAGACATGAAGATAAATAGAATTAAGTTTTTATCTTGAATCTCTTGAGTCTCATTCCTGGTTGAAATTAAATGTAATGTGTTGAAAGTCTGGTACCCTCTGCGTTTTGGATGATGATCCGGTACTGCGTCGCCCCGGCAACCCCAATCCAGCCCAGTCTGACGGTGCTGCCCAGGAACTCGACCACGCGCAGGTCGGACACTCGGCCCACAGGCTGCTCTTCTAGACACACAAACACACACACTCAGGCCGCATCATCACCTTACAGACCAGGGGGAAGATATATTGTGTAGTGTCTCTGGTTAATCACTGCTCTCTTTCTCTCTGGTCTCTTTCTCTCTGGTACCTCTCTCTCTGGTCTTTCTCTGGTCATTTTCTGGTCTTTCTCTGGGTCATTCTCTCTGGTAACTCTGTCTTTGGTGTCTCTCTGGTTACAATACAATACCATTTATTCTTGTATAGCCCTAAATCACAACAGTAGTCATCTCGGAGGACTTAAAAAAAACCATTGAAATCAAACAAAAACTGATCAGAGACAGTCAAGACACAAAAAAGAATAGAGAACTTTCTGGTCTCTCACTAGTCTCTCTCTGCTAAGACTTGCTAAGAAGTACAAATGATGGGTGGGAAACCTTCCTTTGCTTAGTCTCTCTCTGGTTACTCTCTGGTCTCTCTCTCTGGTCTTTCTCTAGCCACTCTCTGGTGAGGACTGTGTGGGGACCTCTCTACCTACAGTAAAGCAGTAGTATAGTTGATCTGTATGTAGTATGACGATCTGATGTGATCCACCAGGTGGAGTTTAACCTATAGGACACAAAATTTGGGTCAAGACCAAACACCTTGTCACGAGGTGAGATGATGGAGGACTCAAAATGCAGGAATGCCAAAATAATGGTTTAATACAGAAATACCAAAATACAGAACCAGGAACAAAAAAATCAGGAACAGGACAGAACACAAGTTGACAATACAATGGACCAGCAACAAGAGGAGAGGAGCACAGGGTAATTATAGACAGAGACACAGGTGAAATACATTAGGGTGGGGTAGACAATCAAGACAGGGGAAACAGGACGTCAAAGTCAAACTAAAACCAAAGCACAGAGAACAGATATCAAAATAAAACTAAAGTCCAAAACAAGAAAATCCACACCATGACACACCTTTCTAAAAAAGTTTGTATGTGTGTCTTTTTAATGTGAAGACTATCTTTGCTAAGTGAGATACCCTGTGCATAAGAGTTAGTGTCTGTGGATAGAGAGAGAGAGACCTCTGGCGGTGGTGGACACAGGTGTAGCCTCCTCTCGGCCCTCGTACAGAGTGTACAGTGTGATGATGTACTCAGTGTTCGGCTGGAGCCCCGTCAGGTCGTAGTTCGTGGTGCCCCGAGGAAACGACAGAGTCTGCACTCTGCCCCCTGTGGGTTAAAGAAGGGAACAGTCATATTAACTATACAGCATTTTAAAAAGAGTGAAAGTGAAAGTCTTTCTGATTTGTTAGTGATATGATATTGCACCGCATTCATTCCCACACCTTAATCAAGGGAGAGAGACTAGAGAGAGATACTAGAGAGAAAGACCATAGAGAGACCAGAGAGGGACCAGAGAGAGATACTAAAAAAGAAAAACCAGAGAGAGACCATAGAGAGACTAGAGAGACCAGAGAGAGAAACTAGAGAGAGACCAGAGCAAGACCAGAGAGAAACTAGAGAGAGAGACCAGAGAGATTCAATTGTTCATATACATCATGAAGAGAACATTATTCTCAAAGAGGAGACACATGGAGACTCTTCTCTTTGTAGAGACTGCAAACCATATATTGCTGAGTCTTGTAACTTTATGTGGCTGTTTAGCTGGAGGAAGCAAACTGCAGCGTAACTGCTTTTCCGGGACTTTTTTAATACAAGCGGCTCATACACCAACACACACACACACTGGCCAGATGCATACAGTACATGCACTGAAAACAAAATGATAAACAAAAACATATGGCCGATATGACCTATCGTACATCTTTTAAGTGGTAGGGGAAACCAGAGGGACACCTAACTCCACGCAGAAAGGCCCTGTTCCGACCGGGATTTGAACCCAGGAACTTCTTGCTGAGAGAAGCGATAGTGCTAATCATTCCGATGCTGTGCCACCCACTGAAGACTACGAGATTCCTTTGAAACTGTTATTTGTTTATGCTCGCATGTAGACCGGGAGCAGAGTGTTCGGACCGGTTTGGGAGCAACATGGAATAGCCATATTTTTTCTATCCTACTCCGTACTGTTAACTTTGTAAACGTGCTCAGCCATTGCAAAGCTCTTGTCCTTGTGTCCATTGTTTGTCCAAGATGATTCTCTACTTCCAAAGATAATACAGGCAAATCTTATTGAATAGTTATAGTCATAAAGGAGAAGACCATACCCTCTCCAGCTCTCCACTCGAGCCGATATCCTCTGGACGACTGTATGAACCTCCAGATGAGTCTGATGGTGGACGGTCCGGTGGTCAGAGCTCTGAGCTGCTGCTGCTCCTGACGCTCTGCACAAAAACACACACAACCAGAATCAAAAACGTTTCTCTCTGATGTTGAACCATAGAGCGTACATTAGGAGTGGACTGACAGAGTGAGACCAGAGAGAGAGACCAGAGAGAGAAACCATAGAGAGAGACCAGAGAGAGAGACCAGAGAGAGAGATCAGAGAGAGAGACCAGAGAGAGAGACCAGAGAGAGACCAGAGAGAGAGACCAGAGAGAGAGATCAGAGAGAGAGACCAGAGAGAGAGACCAGAGAGAGACCAGAGAGAGGAACCAGAGAGAGAGACCAGAGAGAGAGACCAGAGAGAGAAACCAGAGAGAAACCAGAGAGAGAGACCAGATAGAGACCAGAGATCAGAGAGAGACCAGAGAGAGACTAGAGAGAGAGAGACCAGAGATCAGAGAGAGACCAGAGAGAAACCAGAGAGAGAGACCAGAGAGAGAGACCATAGAGAGAGACCAGAGAGAGAGACCAGAGAGAAACCAGAGAGAGAGACCAGAGAGAGACCAGAGATCAGAGAGAGACCAGAGAGAGACTAGAGAGAGAGAGACCAGAGATCAGAGAGAGACCAGAGAGAAACCAGAGATCAGAGAGAGACCAGAGAGAGACTAGACCAGAGAGAGAGACCTGAGAGAGAGACCAGAGAAAGATGGCGGGAGAAGAGGATGTTATTAGAAGAAGAAGGTCCTTTATTCGTCCCACAATGGGGAAATTTCAGTTTGATGCATACACATACACAGGCAAGCAGCAAACATCACTTCTGTGCTCCATATAGGCAAAGTGGGTAAAGTGTCTTGCCCAAGGACACAACAACAGCATCAGTGGAGTTGGTGGAGAAGGTCTCGTGGTGGGCTCGAACCCACGACCTTCGGGGTCAAAGGCCAATGCTCGACCAACTGAGCTACTGTCGCTGGGGACATTTGTACATGTTTTTTGTTGTAGGGAAAACCAGAGCACCCAGAGGTGACCGAAGCAGACATGGGGAAATGTCCATGCAAACTCCACATAGAAATGGTTAGGGTAAAGGGAGGTGGAATCAAACCCAGGATCTTCTACTAGCTATAAAACAGAAACGTTCACCACTGTGCCACCGTGCTGGCCAAAGCTAGCTGGAGCAAAGTTCCTTTCAGTGGCGTTGGCTTGGCACCATAACAGGGGCAGATGTTTTGCTAATATGGTTGCTAAGGTTGAGTTTCCCCGTGAATAAACGGGGGAACCTGGATTTACAAAGACAATATAACATTATTGTCAATTGATCCAAATTACAACACAAAAAATTAAGTAAAGTAAGTAATATTATTGTATCTTTCGTTTTTCGCGCTGCTTTTTCCCCCATTCTTCGTTCTTTGCTGTTGCTTTTGTTGGAGAGACCTGAGTGTAAAAAACCCCACAGAGACAAGATCAGACAGCACAGATCACCACATGAAAGACGACTTGTTTTCTCTTCGACTGAATCTTGTCCAAACAAACGAATGCACAGAAATGAACCCTGGCTTAAATCCTCACAGCTTGTTCCACACATCCCCTTTTAATCTCGGAGCAGCTCTGTTTGGCTTCTACATCTGATTACAACACTTTCTCATGTGGTTCTTGTAAACGATAGAAGCATTTGTCCCAAGGGAAGGGATGCAGAGTTATTGATGATTACCATAGACTGTACATAGACGGATAGTGCTAACCCGCTAGCTCAATGAAGCCCGATAGGGAAATGCTCATGGACAAAGTTTTGCTCCAACTCGCTCTGGCTCCTATTGACTTAAACGTTAAAGTAGACTCCTCCAACTCAATAATCATTTGTGGTGTTTATGATGTGATATTATCTTTGTAAATCCATATATGAGCTGAATCATAATATACAATAATTAATGTCTACAAAAGCGATGACAATGACTGAGCTGGGTGTTTGGCAAATGCTCATTTGTTTTGACTTTGGCTTCTTCTCAATGAGATCTATGTATAATTCTAAATCCAGCTGTGTATAATATATTTTTAGTGGTTTAGTCAGCTTTGCAGGTGCGTCATAAATCTGTTTGCTCCGATGTTCAGGTTAATCACTTCGGTAAACACGCAACCATTTATTGTCTGGGTGACTTTAAACTTTAGGATGGCAGATTTTTTTTATGAACTTCGCCAACAGATTTTCTTGTGGTAATTGTTTACTGGTGAATCTCTCATCTCAGTATGTATTCCCTCAGTCCTGGTTCATCAGTCTCAGTCCTGGATCTACAGCCTCAGTCCTGGATCTACAGCCTCAGTCCTGGATCTGCAGCCTCAGTCCTGGACCTACAGCCTCAGTCCTGGATCTACAGTCTCAGTCCTGGATCTACAGCCTCAGTCCTGGATCTACAGCGCAGTCCTGGACCTACAGCCTCAGTTCTGGATCTACAGCCTCAGTCCTGGATCTAAAGCCTCAGTCCTGGATCTACAGCCTCAGTTCTGGATCTACAGCCTTATTCCTGGATCTACAGTCTCAGTCCTGGATCTACAGCCTCAGTCCTGGACCTACAGCCTCAGTCCTGGATCTACAGTCTCAGTCCTGGATCTACAGCCTCAGTCCTGGATCTACAGCCTCAGTCCTGGATCTACAGCCTCAGTCCTGGATCTGCAGCCTCAGTCCTGGATCTACAGCCTCAGTCCTGGATCTACTGTACAGTCTCAGTCCTGGATCTACAGCCTCAGTCTTGGATCTACAGCGCAGTCCTGGATCTACAGCCTCAGTCTTGGATCTACAGCGCAGTCCTGGATCTACAGCCTAGGTCTTGGATCTACAGCGCAGTCCTGGATCTACAGCCTCAGTCCTGGATCTACAGCCTCAGTCCTGGATCTACAGCCTCAGTCTTGGATCTACAGCGCAGTCCTGGATCTACAGCCTCAGTCTTGGATATACTGTAATCTTTGTCAATCCAGATATGAGCCATATAAAGGTGGAATGATTGGAAACTACATCTTGCTTCAGAAACAAGTATGCCCCTGTTACACTCTGATGATAACGCCAAAGTGGACGGGGCTGTGTAAGGAGATTGGCCCAAACTAGCTTATGTTCAAATCGGCTCGTTCCGCATTAAAGCTAACACTATGGTGATGTCAAAGTGAGTCAGTCCACTCCTAAAATAAGGTATTTAAATCCACCCAGAGTGGTACAGCTGTTCTATGAGGGTTCTTCTCAATGAAACAATGGACTTTTGCTTTCGTGACTTTTCTACTGCAGTGATGTCAAAGCTGCCCACAGGAGTAAACAGAGGGCAGCCTGGATGTGGTCTCCTGTGTGGGTGAGGAGACTAGGAATCCAGACTGTTTGGGTGTTTTCTGCTGATTCAGGGGGATACACTCACAGCAGATGCTAAATATGGAGGAGGAGGAGGAGGAGGATTGGAAATGTCCCTTACTTAAACCAGAACTTGAAAAAGGACACATTCTCAAAATCCCCATATTATATTACAGTCACAGATTAAATTAATAAAATGGGATAAATCACAGTTAAACTCAAACTTTGAAACGACAAAAGGGACAAATCTGTCTCAGTCCTGGATCTACAGCCTCAGTCCTCAGTCCAGTGCTTCACAATAAAATTAATTTGGATCATTCAAAGATCCTCACTGAACTTCTGGAGTGAGTTTGCTGCACTGAAAGTAATGGGGCCGAATAATATTGCACGCCCCACTTTTCAGTTTTTTATTTGTTAAAAAAGTTTAAATTATTCAATAAATTTTGTTCCACTTCACGATTGTGTCCCACTTGTTGATTCATGACAAAAAATAATTTGTTTATATCTTTACGTTTGAAGCCTGAAATGTGCCGAAATGTTGAAAGGTTCAAGGGGGCCGAATACTTTCGCAAGGCACTGTAAATATTTCACTGGTGGGGTTTCATGCACTTCATTACTTGGTTTCTGTTACTGTGTACTGTGCACTCACTGTGCGAACTAATACCACAATCTTTTCATATGTGCGTCAAAATTCATCACAATTAACCACAGCCCAAATATCTAAAGCCTTTTTAAAATGGAAGCAGGACTCATTCCTGGCAGCCAGGATATAAAGCATTAATCCCGAATCTAGACAGTCAGTTTGGATCTATAGCCTCCGTCCTGGATCTACAGCCTCCGTCCTGGATCTACAGCCTCAGTCCTGATAGAGGAGGGTCTAATGACAGTGGTAATTTTGGATGTTTATGGACTTTGATTTATGGATATTGGTCAGCCCGCTCCTCCTGGACCAATGGCTCCTATGCTGTTTTATCCTGTGAGCTATGGTCCGCAAATGGGGCTATCGGGCTATATGCAAATACATTGAACTGAAGTATTATTGAAGCATTGTCTGTATTATTAGAATTTTGACTGTAGTTTGTTCATTGCTATTTACCCGTTGTCCCATTGTCTGTTTCATGGTACAACAACGCAACCTCTGAACCCGGCTCCCTCCCCCTAAACCTGCGGACTGCCCTGCCCAACCCGCCTGGGAGCTGCTTTAGTCCTGCACCGGACCTGTCCAGGTTCTGCGGCCGCTGCGTGGCCTTGGTCCTCGTTCTGTAGCTTAGGTCCTGGATCTACAGCCTCAGTTCTGAATCTACAGCCTCAGTCCTGGATCTACAGCCTCAGTCCTGGATCTACAGCCTCAGTCCTGGATCTACAGCTTCAGTCCTGGATCTACAGCCTCAGTCCTGGATCTACAGCCTCAGTCCTGGATCTACAGCCTCAGTCCTGGATCTACAGCCTCAGTCCTGAATCTACAGCCTCAGTCCTGAATCTACAGCCTCAGTCCTGGATCTACAGCCTCAGTCCTGAATCTACAGCCTCAGTCCTGGATCTACAGCCTCAGTCCTGGATCTACAGCCTCAGTCCTGAATCTACAGCCTCAGTCCTGGATCTACAGCCTGTCCAGGCAGGAGGGTCTAAGTCCTCTGAGGCAACACCTGTTGAGATTCAGGGCTAAATGAATAAAAAGCAGACAGCTCATTGTTGTTATGTTCTACAGATGAACTCAACAGACGGTAATCAATTATTGCCAACGGTCAAAGCTGTTGGAGACACGCAGCTGTAAAGAAGGTCATTCGACAGAGAAATTCCAAAAACTAATGAAAGCCAGTTCTGTCTTTGTGACGTCACAATCTGAGGTTTAGTCACATGACTTTTATAAAAACCATTTGGACAGAAAGGCCAGACGTTTTTTCTTTACATCATTGCTCCTCATTCCTACTGGTGATGCAACACTGACATTTCCCCTCTCTCTTAATCTTAATTTTATTTGATTAGAAAACTACTAACAGTTTTAGGGCAGTAAATCAACCAATCAATAATTTTTATATATAGATCCCTTTAAAACACTCAAGGCGACCAAAGTGCTTCACAATAAAATTACATAAAATCCATTGAAATACAAAAAACAGTTAAAAAGCATTAAAAAAGTGTCACCGTGCTAATGAGTGTTAAAGTGTTAAAAGCCAGTCTGAATACATTTGTTTTTTTAGCCTCGATTTAAAAAGGCCAAAATCAGTGAGGATACGCATATTGAATAAGGATTATTGGTTGTCTGTTATTGTTTTTTCAAACACAGAAATTGGTACAAATTCATAATTTAACAAAACCTAAAGAAACAAAACTCCAGAACAATTTCATAGAAAATAATAGAATTTAAATAGAAATAAACAAGTTTACATATGTCTCTCTATCGGGCTGGTAGAGAGACCTACTCTTCTCTGCAGAGAGAGAGTGAGCAGAGACAAAGCAGAGTGTGGTGTAGAGCAGAGCAGAGCAGGGCCGGTGGAAAAGTGGCGTATGTGGAGCTACTGAACTCCAGATGTATGAATAAATAAATAAAGCTCATTAATTGTGATGAATCGACTGTCCTTTGTCTGCTTTAAATACTTGAAACAAACAAACAAACACACACAGGCGCAGACTGAAATTTCCCAACATGGGATAAATACAGGCATCCAACTTTAAATACTTGAATAAACAAACGCAAACAGACACGCACACACAAACACACATACAAACACACACACACAAAGACCAACAGACCGATCTTGAAGCGAGCAGTGGCCACAGGTCCCTCGGCGCCCCCCTGGTACAGAGGGATGATGGTGATGATGTATTCCGTCTCTGGTTCCAGGCGTGACAGAATGTAGAAGGTGGTGTCGGCCGCCACCTCTGCGCTCTCCACGGTCTGTCCTGAACACAGCAAATACAAGAGTCAACACTTTGTATATTCTCTTATTCATATAACTTATAGACATCGACAGTAATGCAAGTAAAGCTGGGGTACCTAAGTGTAAGAGCGCAAGTAATCCTCGCTCTCAAGACAGTTTGGTTCTGTTTGTATTCTGGTTCTGCATTAGTATTATTTTTGAAATGTTTTTGGTTTCTGTTACATGTTTAGATCAGGTTCTACAGACTGAAAAGTGAAAAAGAGAGACCTGAGAGAGACCAGAGAGAGACCAGAGAGAGACCATAGAGAGGCCAGAGAGAGGCCAGAGAGAGACCAGAGAGAGACCATAGAGAGGCCAGAGAGAGGCCAGAGAGAGGCCAGAGAGAGACCAGAGAGAGACCAGAGAGAGACCAGAGACAGACCAGAGAGAGTCCAAAGAGCGACCAGAGACAGACCAGAGAGAGTCCAGAGAGCGACCAGAGAGCGACCAGAGAGAGACCAGAGAGAGACCAGAGAGACAGACCAGATTGAGCCCAGAGAGAGACCAGGGAAAGAAGTGACCGCAACACAAGAAGGAAGGTGAGAGGGGACCGTGTTTTAGTGCTGGTGAAGACAGGAGCCGGTGAATGACCTGTGAACGGGCCCCAGACGAGACGATAGGCCTGAGCTCCACTCACTCCTCCCCACTGCACTCGCACACTGCCCTCGGACTCAGTCTGCACCGACAGCTGCTTTACGGCCTCCAGAGCCACTGAGGAGACACACACGAAGGGTTAACTCACACAAGCAGGATTATCTACACATTCAAACAATAATATATGTATATATTTCACTGGTGGGGTTTCAGACATGCACTTCATTACTTGGTTTCTGTTACTGTGTACTGTGCACTCACTGTGCGAGCTAATAGCACAATCTTTTCATATGTGCGTCAAAATTCATCACAATTAACCACAGCCCAAATATCTAAAGCCTTTTTAAAATGGAAGCAGGACTCATTCCTGGCAGCCAGGATATAAAGCATTAATCCCGAATCTAGAGAGTCAGTCTGGATCTATAGCCTCCGTCCTGGATCTACAGCCTCCGTCCTGGATCTACAGCCTCCGTCCTGGATCTACAGCCTCCGTCCTGGATCTACAGCCTCAGTCCTGGATCTACAGCCTCCATCCTGGATCTACAGCCTCCATCCTGGATCTACAGCCTCCGTCCTGGATCTACAGCCTCCATCCTGGATCTACAGCCTCCGTCCTGGATCTACAGCCTCCGTCCTGGATCTACAGCCTCCGTCCTGGATCTACAGCCTCCGTCCTGGATCTACAGCCTCAGTCCTGGATCTACAGCCTCCATCCTGGATCTACAGCCTCCATCCTGGATCTACAGCCTCCGTCCTGGATCTACAGCCTCCATCCTGGATCTACAGCCTCCGTCCTGGATCTACAGCCTCCGTCCTGGATCTACAGCCTCCGTCCTGGATCTACAGCCTCCATCCTGGATCTACAGCCTCCGTCCTGGATCTACAGCCTCCATCCTGGATCTACAGCCTCCGTCCTGGATCTACAGCCTCCGTCCTGGATCTACAGCCTCCATCCTGGATCTACAGCCTCCGTCCTGGATCTACAGCCTCCGTCCTGGATCTACAGCCTCAGTCCTGATAGAGGAGGGTCTAATGACAGTGGTAATTTTGGATGTTTATGGACTTTGAGTTATGGATATTGGTCAGCCCGCTCCTCCTGGACCAATGGCTCCTATGCTGTTTTATCCTGTGAGCTATGGTCCGCAAATGGGGCTATCGGGCTATATATATGCAAATACATTGAACTGAAGTATTATTGAAGCATTGTCTGTATTATTAGAATTTTGACTGTAGTTTGTTCATTGCTATTTACCTGTTGTCCCATTGTCTGTTTTATGGTACAACGACGCAACCTCTGAACCCGGCTCCCTCCCCCTAAACCTGCGGACTGCCCTGCCCAACCCGCCTGGGAGCTGCTTTAGTCCTGCACCGGACCTGTCCAGGTTCTGCGGCCGCTGCGTGGCCTTGGTCCTCGTTCTGTAGCTTAGGTCCTGGATCTACAGCCCGTCCGTCCGTGTGGAGCGGATCCCTCTCTAAATGTGGATCTCCCCAAGGTTTATCACTTTTTCTCACCACATTTTAGAGTTTTTCCTTGCCGATGCAGGAGGGTCTGTTGGAAAGTTAGTGTCTAACAAGAACTTTAACATTCTACAACATGTATGCACATTTTTAAACATTCATGGACATTGGTCTCTCCTATGGTTCAACACCATGTGTTCTATATTTTTGTGTTTTAACTGTTGATTCTCTGATCTGTGTTGGCGATATTAACGATTTTGTTAAGTCCTCTGAGATGACTGCTGTTGTGATTAAGGGCTATACAAGAAAAAAAAAATATTGTATTGTATTGTGAGCAGATTTGTATTCAATTTGGGTAAATGTGTTTAATGTCCATTTCATTTTGGTGCATCAGGGCATATCCAGGAAGTGGCAAGAGAAAACATAAACCTGTGCAACACAGAGAGAACATGCAAACAGTGATGATGAGGTGGTTGTGTGTATGTGGGACTTACATGTGTTTGCGTTGAGCACAGAAGGGGAGGCGGAGCTACGTGGGACCAGAGGGTACAGACTGATCACATACTCTGTTCCAGGCTGAAGAGACTCTAACGTGACCGAGGTGCTGTCTGCGGAGATCGACTGCTCCAGAAGATCTGCAGCCGGCTGCCCTGCAAACACAAACACACACACACACACCCGGATTCAGCAGGTCCATAATCCAGGGGTCTCCAGGAATACAGCGTGGTGGTTTACAGTCATAAAATTAGAGCCTTAAAACAGCTGCTACTTATTGCAGGAGCCCCTTCAGTCCTGCACTGCAGACCCAGTCCTGGATCGACAGCCTGTCCGTCTCTCAATATGGGCCTTCATGAGGTTTCTCCCTTTTTACCCAATGTTTTATTGTTATTTGAGTGGTTCCTTGCCGATGCAGGAGGGATTAAGGACAGTGATGATCCAAGACATTGAAGAAAGTTTTTGAACATTTTTGGACAGTGATCATCTTGCTCCCTATGGACCATGGTTTTTTGTTATTATTACATTTCATGAGTTTGAACTGTTTGATTCTCTGGTCTGTTGTTGGTAAATTCACAACTTTGTAAAGTCCTCCTGACTGAGGTCTTGATTTAGGGCAATACATACATTACATCGACAGTATTGCAAGTAAAGCTGGGGTACCTAAGTGTATGAGTGCAAGTAATCCTCATACACATAAATTGAATTGAATCGATTTATGAAGAGGTTCTACACTATGACATTACTTCACACCATTTGAAGAACCAGCTTTTATTCAAGTTGCTCTGAATTCTGGCACAAGAACAAGACTTGATGTGCAGCCAATAAGACACATGATAAGATAACAGGTTATGTTCTCTGAATGAAAAACCCCTGAATGAACAAGCTAGACCTGTATAAAGTTATGTAAAAAGTCCCATGTAGCCCTGGCACTCCAGCCTCAGACAGAGACTTTATTGGGGCCTCCAGGGGCCACGTTCTGAACCAGACGCTGATCAGTGCCACACCCAAGTGAGACTCTACAACCGTGACGACAGAAGCACTTCTCTAAGTGAGCGGCTCATTTGACTCCAGTGTTGAGTTAATGTTTTTGATTTTTGTGCTGGTGATGGTAATGGTTGGTCATAAAACTTCTCTCTGACAGCTGCAGCCCGAGGCACAGGTCCCAAACCCTGACTGCCTTCCATTCCCAACATGTCTGAGTCACGGAACACATTCTGAGCTCTGTGTCCGTCTCCGGTTCATGATGCAGAGAAAATGTTACAGTTGTTGATAGAAACACGCATTAGTCCTTTAGTAATTATAATGATAGTAATAATAATAATATAACATCCTTTTCAGAATCTTTTAAACCAGAGTTACAAAGAGCTTCACACGATCCCAGAGAACACCTTAACTCTCAGAGGAATTCTTAAACTACCACATCTCCCAGAGCAGTTTGTTGAAAGGCTTATGCCGCGCTCAGACCGGATCATGCGTTGCGTCGGCTTTCAATGCAAAGTCAATGGTGACGCGCGCTCGAGCGTCAAAACGCACAAACGTCTCGGAATGCACGCACGGACCGCACTGGGAAGTCGAAGGGGAGGAACGCAGGAGATGGATTTGGCTCAACCTTTCCTCGGGATGTTCGTGCAGCAACCAATCAGAGAGCCGCAAAGTGGTCACGGGGACATTTGCGGACTGAGCTAGCAGACTGAAAATACTCGTAAGCAGCCAAAACAGGAGCTACATCAGGACTAAAACCGGGACTAAACCAGGGTTGACAGTGGGGGACATAGTGCTTGTTAACATGTGAGTTTTCATGCTCCCGTGACTTTATGCAACTGCTTCGAGTGTGTTCGCCAATGCGGAAGTACCTTTCAATAATAAAATAAACTTATTGCGCACCTCCGTGAACACATACTACTGTTATATAAAGTCTGTGGAAGGTTTCAGAACACAGACACGCTGCAAAGCTGCATTATTGGAGAAGATCTGTACACAAGAAGCCGCTAGCTAAACTCTGTTAGTATCAGAGCCCGCCGGCTACTTCCAGCACTTCTGGTCTGAAGACCCCTGCGTCTGAAAACTAGAGAACGTGCGTTTCAGCGTTGCCGATCTGAAAGCACCATATGCTCTTACTGTCAGAACTAACCTCTGAGGGTAAACAGTTTGTTTCTATTCAACTCGCACTCCACTCAGAACTAGAACCGGTCCAGGACTAGCCCTTTGAGAAAAGGGGCTTTAACTCCCATGGAATTTTAGATGACAAATGAAAATGGCGACATTTGAACTTTAAATTTAAACTAGAAATGGTACAATGGCTGAAGCCATTGTGAGTGGCTGCATAGAAAAAGAAGAACGTGTTGTCCGCGGTGCAATTATTGTACTGGTCCAATGTAAGTCAATGGGAAAAAGTGCTTGTTCTTTTGTAAATATCTGAAAAAGTGCAAAAGGTGGAAGTGTGAAAAGTAATAACAATAATGACATGGTGAAGCCGGTCGTAACGATGTATAATTTGTTGAATTTGGTGAAAGAGTTGAAAAGTTGTAAAGTGCCCAAATCTGGCGGAAGCCGTAAGAATAAGAAGAAAGCAAGAGCATATAGTGGCTGCATAGTCTATGGAGCCACTTAATGAAGGGAGAAAAAGGTAGAACTCCAAACATTTCAATAATAGAAGACAATTCCATGAAAATAATGACTGAGAAATAAATTATAAACAACAAGTCACAAAGATATGAAGACCACAAATGATAAAGAGCGCCGCTCCAGATGTTTGACCCTTTTATTGTTTCCTAAATCCCATGAACGTGTCTTTTTCTAGAATTATGCCATGTTTTAGCCTGGATGAAGTTTGGGATTTTTCTGTTGTTTTCTAAAGCTTCTTGTCTTTGAGCTTGGAAAACCAGATCTGGCGCACACTAAAATAAAGCCATTAGGAGACACATGTTTCACATGACAGATATTTGTGTTGTGAGTCTGCAGTTTTGAAACAAATAAGTCTGTAGATAGTATAAAAATATGTGCAGGAAACTTTTGGATATTTTCTGTTTTGTTGCGAAGATGAGGACCAACAACTTAAAATCAGAGCTGCATCAGACTGTTGTGGTGAAGAGGGAGAAGTGTCTGCAGTCAGAGCTCTACGTCCCCTTCTGACCTCTGGTCATGAGCTTTGGGTAACGACTAAAAGGAAGAGATCGCAGATACAAGCGATCCACTGGAGTTTCCTCTGCAAATTCATGTGGACCACGACCCTTCCTCTTCCCTTATGGTGCTTTCAGACCGGATCATGTGTTGCGTCGGGTTTCAATGCAAAGTCTATGGTGACGCGCGTTGCAGCGTCACAACGCACGGACCTCTCGGCACGCACGGACGGGCTGTTCAGTAGAGACGCACGGACTTGGCAGGAAAGTCAAAGGGGAGGAGCAGGAGCGAAAAATCGACGCCCACAGGAGATGGATTCTGCTCATCCTTTCCTTGGGACGTTCGTGCGACAACCAATCAGAGAGCAGCAAAGTGGTCACGGGGACATTAGCGGACTGAGCGAGCAGACTGAAAATACTCATAAACAGCCAAAACAGGACCCACATCAGACTTCACCAGAACTCAAACCAGGGTTGACAATAGGGGACTCTGTGATTGTGAATATATGCGTTGTCATGCTCCCGTGACCTTATGCAACTGCTTCGAGTGTGTTCGCCGATGCGGAAATACCGTTTAATAATATGGAAACACGTATGGAGCACCTCCGTGAACACATACTACTGTTGTATAAAGCCCGTGGAATGTCTGTGAGCAAAGACACGCTGCAAAGCTGCATATTGGAGAAGATCTGTCCACAAGAAGCCGCTAGCATAGCTCTGTTAGCATTAGAGCCGGCCGGCTACTTCCGGTACTTCCGGCTCGCGTCAGGACGTTCTGGTGTGAAGTCCTCTGCGTTTGAAAACTAGAGAATGCGCGTCTGGTGAGCAGGGCTTCAGCGTTTGAGCGTTGGCGGTCTGAAAGCCCCAATAGAGATAGAACAAGGACCTCAGTCACGCGGGAGGAGCTAAACCGCTGATTCTCCACGTCGAGAGGATCCAGGCGAGGAGAAAACCATGGTAACCTGAAAAACACTGGGTTTGATTTTAACCCTAACCTAAGATTACTGCTTAATGGTACCAGCTCAAAACTTAAAATGTTCCCTTAAACCTCTACAAACATGCTCTCTTAACCATGTTACTGTTATATAGTAAGTAAGTAAGTAGTAAGTAAGTATTTATTTATATACCGCCTTTTCACTGCAGAACTGAGTCTCAAAGCGGTTTACAATTGTTAATTTTTGGGCATTTGTCTCTCACTCCACACAGAGATGGGAGCGGGGTCGCCAGTACAGGAGGCGCATGCCAGAACTATTGGACATATTTTTAGTGGTAGGGGAAACCGGAGTACCCGGAGGAAACCTACGCAGACACGGGGAGAACATGCAAACTCCACTCAGAAAGGCCCTGGTCCGACCGGGATTCGAACCCAGGACCTTCTTGCTGAGAGGCGAGAGTGCTATCCACTCAGCCACCGTGCCGCCCATGGATATAGTTCCTTTATCCAAAACTCAACTTGCAGTTGAAAAACCCCTGAATGAACAAGCTAGACCAACTTGCAGTTGTGTTTAGCAGCGTCCATGCTCCTGTCTCATATCTGCTATGCTAATTTGATGAATCCTTACACTATGATATTCTTTTTCCCTTCCTAAATCAAAAGTATTGTCTCCCTGATAGTTTTGGTTCTTTCTACAGTGTAATGATGATGTGTGTGTGTCAGAGAAGAGAAAGTGCTAGTAGCCAAAGCAACACTGTCAGCAGTTAGCATTAACCTTTTAATAAGCTGTATTTAAAGTGATATTCACTAGTTTTAGCACTTATTCAACGTGAGTAAAGGCATAAAAAAACATTCAGTCAAAATGACGGCTCTGGAAGTTCTAGTAGTTTCAGAATTCTGGGAGTATGAGTGTTACGGGCCCACAATAACTCTGTTTATTCTTGAGGTGTTTGAGCAGACGTACCGCGGGGCCCGTAGGTCAGTCTGTAGCCCTGCACTGGACTGGAGGGTCGTTCCCATCCCACAGACAGAGAGAAGAAGCCGGCCTCCACCAGACGCAGGTTGGACAGTCCTGGAGCCGATCCTACAACAACAAATATGACAAAGTTTTACATCAGGAAGCATAAACAAGGCCAAATATGTAATTAGCCATTTTTGTGTGCATTTTTCTACTGAGGTCTTCTCTCTCTGGTCTCTCTCTGGTCTCTCACTGGTCTCTCTCTGGTCTCTCACTGGTCTCTCTCTGGTCTCTCACTGGTCTCTCACTGGTCTCTCACTGGTCTCTCTCTGGTCTCTCTCTGGTCTCTCTCTGGTCTCTCACTGGTCTCTCACTGGTCTCTCACTGGTCTCTCACTGGTCTCTCACTGGTCTCTCTCTGGTCTCTCACTGGTCTCTCACTGGTCTCTCACTGGTCTCTCTCATGGTCTCTCACTGGTCTCTCACTGGTCTCTCACTGGTCTCTCACTGGTCTCTCTCTGGTCTCTCTCTGGTTTCTCTCTGGTCTCCCTCTCTGGTCTCTCTCTGGTCTCTCTCTGGTTTCTCTCTGGTCTCTCTCTAGACTCTCTCTGGTCTCCCTCTCTGGTCTCTTTCTCTCTCATTGTTCTATATCTGGGAAACACAAACATGGCCAAACATTGCTCTTGAGGTTTGATTTATAATATATCAATAGTGACTCAGATAATAATAATAATAATAATGCATTTTATTTCTTAGGCGCCTTTCAAGACACTCAAGGTCGCCTCACAACAACAAGTAAATTAACATCAACAATTAAAAACAGTTAAAATACAATGTTAAAACAGCATGAATAAAACATACAGTTGTGGTCACAGTGAGTAGGCTTGTCTAAACAGATGAGTTTTGAGGATGGATTTGAAGTGTGGGAGTGAGTCGGTGTTACGGAGGTCAGGAGGGAGAGTGTTCCAGAGCTGGGGAGCAGAGCGACTGAAGGCTCTACTCCCCATGGTGACGAGATGGGCGGGAGGGGGAGCAGTGAGCCGGAGAGAGGAGGAGGAGCGGAGAGAGCGGGCAGGTGTGGAGACATGGAGGAGGTCAGTCAGGTATGGAGGAGCGAGCTTGTGGATTGCTTTGAATGTGAGGAGCAGGATTTTGTATTGGATGCGGTGGGTGATGGGGAGCCAGTGGAGCTGTTGAAGGACAGGAGTGATGTGGTTTATGGAGGGGGGTGTGTGTGATGATGCGGGCGGCTGCATTTTGGACCAGTTGGAGTTTATGTAGAGTTTTTTGAGGGAGACCAAACAGTAGGGAATTACAGTAGTCGAGACGAGAGGTGACGAGGCTGTGTACAAGTATGGCAGTGGTGTGAGGGGAAAGAGAAGGGCGGAGCCGGCGGATATTTCTGAGGTGGAAGTAGGCGATGCGGGTGATGCTATTGATGTGTGCGGTGAAGGAGAGGGTGCTATCGAGGGTGACACCCAGACTCTTTACCTGAGGGGAGGGGGAAATGGAGGAGCCGTCAATGGGAATGGAGAAATTGCTGATTTTATTTAGGGTGGATTTGGTGCCAATGAGGAGGAGTTCAGTTTTATTGCTGTTGAGTTTGAGAAAGTTTGAAGTGAACCAGGACTTTATTTCATGGAGGCAGTTGGTGAGAGAGGACGGTGGGAGTGTGGAATTTGGTTTACTGGAGATGTAGAGCTGGGTGTCATCCGCGTAGCAGTGAAAGTGAATGTGGTGTTTTCTGAAGATGTAACCAAGAGGGAGAAGATAGATTAGGAACAGGATGGGGCCGAGGACAGAACCCTGGGGAACCCCTGAAGTGACTGGGAAGGGACGGGAAGTAAAAGATTTGAGCTGGATGAACTGGGTGCGGTCAGAAAGGTAGGAGCAGAACCAGGAGAGGGGAGTGTTTGTGATGCCAATGGAGGAGAGTCTGTCCAGAAGGATGGGGTGGGAGATAGTGTTAAAGGCTGCGCTGAGATCAAGCAGGAGGAGGATGGAGAGTGAACCGGAGTCAGCAGAGAGGAGAAGGTCGTTGGTGATTTTCAGGAGGGCAGTTTCAGTACTATGGAGGGAACGGAAGCCAGATTGAAATTGTTCATATAGGTTATTGGAGGAGAGGTGGGCGTGGAGTTGGGCAGCAACAGTTTTTTCAAGTAGTTTGGAGATGAAGGGAAGGTTTGAAATGGGGCGGAAGTTATTGAGGTCAGAAGGATCAGAGCCAGGTTTCTTGAGAATGGGAGTGACAGCCGCAGTTTTAAGAGGAGAGGGTACAGTACCAGTGGTTAGGGAGGCTTGAATTATGTTAGTTATGAGAGGGGAAATTGCAGGAGTGGAGGCTTTAACGAGAGCAGTGGGGAGGGGATCAAGTTGGCAGGAGGAGGTTTTGGATTTCTGGATAAGGGTGGAGATTTGGATAACACATGGTAATGTGAAGGCAGAAAACAGGTGGGTTGGAGCTGGGAAGGATGGAGCAGCAACATTGGGAGAAGATGAAGGAGTGAGCTGCTGGTGGATGTGCTGAATTTTAGAGGTGAAAAATGAGGCCAGGGTATTGCAGAAATCAGAAGAATAGAGATGAGATGGAAGAGAGTCAGGAGGTTTTGTGATGGTTGAGATGAGTGAGAAGAGTGCTTTGGAGTTACCTTCATTTGAACTGATTAAACCGGAATAATAAATGGATTTGGCTTTGGAGATGGAGTCCTTGTATTGGAGAATATGAGTTATGTACATGTTTTTGTGAATAGTGAGTCCAGTCTTTCTGTAGAGTCTTTCAAGTTGGCGGCCTTTTGTTTTGAGTTGTCTGAGAGCGGGAGTGAACCAGGGTGCTGTGAGAATAAAGGAGACAGAACGGGTTTTGAGTGGGGCCATAGTGTTGAGAATGTTATGGAGGTTTGTGTTGTAGTGTGTAAGAAGCTCATCTGTTGTAGAAAGTCTATCAGCACTCGGGAGGTTATGGATAAAAGATGTTAAATTGTCCGGGTTAATGTCCTTTATTTTACGGAAATGTATAGTGCGTGGTGGGTTGGATTTTGTAAAGGACAGATTAACATTAAATGATAGAAGTAGATGGTCCGTGTATGGGAGGTAGTCAGTTTTACAGTCAGATGGTGTTAATCCTGAGCAGCAGATTAAGTCCAGAATATGTCCTTTATTGTGAGTGGGGAAGTTGACAAACTGTTGAAATCCAAAACTGTCCAGACAGGAGGTAAAATCTTTGGTGAGGGTGTTATTGAAACGGTCCATGTGAATATTGAAGTCTCCTAGCAGTATGACATTTGATGAAAGTGTGGATAGATGAGTTAGAAATGCAGCAATGTCAGTGATAAAATCCTTATTTGGTTTAGGTGGTCGGTAGATAGTGGCAAAAACTGTGGGAATGTGTCCAGAGAGCTGTAAAAACAGTAGCTTCAAATGAATGACAGGCAGGTACATTCACGGGCAGAACCCTCCAGTTCTCGCGGTGTATTACCGCGAGACCGCCCCCTCTCCCAGACACGCGAGGTGCAGCGTGGTAAACAAACCCCGGTGGAGTAGCTTCATTGAGAGGAGCGAAGTCATTTGGCTGCTGCCAGGTCTCAGTTAGGCAGAAGATGTCAAACTTACGGTCCGTCAGAAGGTCTTGGACGAGATGGCCCTTACTCGTGAGAGAGCGGATGTTCAATAGGCCGAAGTTGACCGCAGTGTTGCTGCTGCTGAGACCGACAGTTTTGCTAGCCGACCTCGGGACGCGGGCTAGCACGGAGTGATCCGCGCGGCGACCGGTGTTTCTTTGCGGACGGCGAGCAGTGGACCAGAACGACTTGATGGTGGAGGAATTGTCGTATTGGTAATTCCGACGTGAGCCTCGGTGAGGGTATCTCCGCCGTGGCACGTATAGGATGTCCGGGTGTTGTAGCAGAGCAGGCGCTGGTGGATTGTGTGGATTAAAATAGAGTTTAAACTCGGTGGCTGCATACTGGAAAAGTGCTGTCGATGGATGACGGATTACGGACAGGGCGAACCAGCAAAAAGCAAGCCACACACGATCCATTCCAGTGGCCCCCATAGGCACAGTCATTTATTGTGTGCTTATGGGAAATGTTTAGCGATGACAAAAAACACATTATTATGAACAAAAGGACAGTTTTTTTGCTACATCTGCCTTTCATAATGTAACTATATGTGTATTAGGAGTTGGCTTGTCATGCTTGTCATTTGTTGTCTGCTCTCCTGTGTATTTTTGAGTTTTACTTCCTGTTCTGTTAATTGTCTTCCACATCCTCATGTGTCTCAGAGTGAAATCCCCTGTGCTCTTTCCCTCTGGTCAGTCCCTGGTTCTTGTTGGCGTCCCCAGCTCCTGTGTTTTCCATTCAGTTGAGTTTTTTTGGATTCTTGTTTATTACATTTACAATATTACATTTTGGGTTCTTCCTCTATCTTTGGGATCATGACAGGACTAACCGTGTGTGACATCACCAAAGTGTTAGCCTAAAGGAGGAATAAGCCATTTTGAACATAAGCTAGCAGGAGCTGATTTCCTTATATGCGTTAGATTTGTACCGTAACAGGGGCAGACATGTTGCTAAGGCTGTTGCTAAGGTAAGCTGGACTATCCCTCCCTAATGAAGGCATCTGATTGGTCAATCCTTATACAGCTAAAATCTGGCTTTACAAAGACAATATCGCAATATAAACACCAGAATCACAAAGAGCGAAAAACTACAGATTTTCAAAGCTTAAAATGGTGAGTGTGACATTAACGGTTACTGAGCTCGAGGACAAGTTTGAGAAAAACTTGAACTACAGAGTTAATGTTGTCCGTCTGTACACATTCTATGGATGTAACTAATACATCTCACCCAGTGCCTGTTCATATTGATGTTTTATTTGGTGTAATGCATGATCGCTGGTCACTCACTGGTCTTCTGTTTGCCTGAGGTGGAGTCTCCCACGCTGTTGGGATACTGGGCGATCACCGTGATGAGGTAGTCTGTTCCCGGCCGTAGCTCCCGGGCCGTGAACGAGCGCTGAGAGGCCGAGACCGTCTCCTGAACACAAAATAACACAACTATTTAAAGGAGCAGTGTATGTACAGAGAGAGTATGTAAAAATCTGGCCACAAAAGGTACTGCACTCTCCCTGCCTCAGGTTGCCAGATATGCAGACGAATCCAGCTGGGACCATATTATCTGAATAAAGTGCTTTGTCAACAACATATCTATAACAAACACCATTTTAATAAAGGTCTCATTATAAGTCCTTGTGTTAGTCCTTGTTTTGTTGTTAATGATTTGAGAATCATAACGAGACCTTTTTTAGTTCTGTGGCCACATGTTACTTTAAATGAAACTAGAAAAACAAAAACGCACACCAAGTTCTTCTCATGAGGTGCATGTGCTGGAGCAGAAATTAAATGTATTGGAAAATACACAGCACACTCGGATAGATGTCCAAAAGATCTAGTATTTATTACGTTTCGGCCTTAGCCTTCGTCAGATCACATGTTACTTTACCAGTGAGATAAGCTCGATACGGTGAACTCTGGCAACCCGGATCACAGACTTTCTGATTGGTAAAACGATGGAGGGCGGGACATCGAAATGAAAACAATACCAAGATTTAGGCGCTGTAAACCTATTTTTTAAATCCAAATATCTCTGAACTACTGATATCAGTTAAAGAAGTATTCGAATAGAGCATGGTTTATTAATGCCTTTTGACAGATAAGGGCCGTTTAATGATGACTTGACATGAAAATCGTACATATTGCTACTTTAACATTTTTAAAGCAAAACACATACTCACAAACTCACAAATATATTTACAATAGAGAGGACAAAAAGACCCACATAGTGAGAAAACGGTTTTGCATATGGTGGGTTATTTCCACCAGTGTACACAAGAAAATCGAGCTAATTTCTACTTTGGGAATTCTAAAACAAGTAAATATTCTATGATACTTTTATGGTATGGGCTCTATGCACGCACCACTTCCGCGTTTTAGCTACAACCCCACTTCACTTCCTGTTCGCGGGAAACGGCTTGAGTTTCATTGGAGTTCAGCAGTGGTTTACACGAGTTTCCCAAATAATGCTCAAACGGGAATTAAACTGTGAGGATACTGGGCATTTTTGGGACACAGCAGTGCTCTTTGATTGTGCTGTCATTGTGTTTTTATAAAGTTTACAAATCCACAGTCAAAGCTCTACCTCAGAGAGAAAGCAAAGCGACACTTTTGGGTCAGTCTCACAGCTGAATGTATCGATCTAATTACTAAAAAACGTCACTAAAACCCACCTAAAAGCCTTAGGATAGCATAGGCAGGAAGTGAACGGGCTGATCTTTGTTAACAGGAAATGACGTCACGCCTCCCCGTCCATATATAGCCCATTGAGCTCTACTTCCTGTTCCCGCTGCTGTGGGCGTGGCTGATCCTGTTCCTGGCTGGCCTGCACACCTGCCACTCATCACCTCAGCATTTAAGCCTGGGCATTTCACCAATCCTCTGACAGATCGTCAGTCTACATCGTGAGACAACACCTGAGGCCTTTTTGCTATTTTGCTTTTCATGCCCTTGTCTGATCTCATTTTTGTGCTGCTCTCAGATTCTGGTGCTAGTTGCCAGCCACCTCATCAGTGTTTCCTCTGCCACTTCACTCCTGCTCCAGCTCCTAATCCTGTTCCAGTTCCGGCAAACCAGCTCAACCTTCATTTCTGTCAATAAATTCTGTTAACCCGTCCTCTGCATTTGGTTTCACTTCTTTGATCATGATATTTACGATGTTAACTCGATCATTATTCAAATCCTGTGAGACACTGAAACGTGATCTTGTCGGTGAAGCTTATCAATATTCATCAGCGTCGTACATTTCATTCAAGCAGATATGTAGTTCTCTTTTTCTTCTCACTCAATCCTCAGGCATCAGCTAATGAGTTATTATAACAATTATTCTAGATGATTATCTGTTTCCTACTTTGAACATAAACGTAGGGCCTTCCACTTTACAAGCAAAAGACAAAATGTACGTGTTTACTTTGTCCTTTTGATCTAATTACATCCTAATTATTATCCTAAATATCTAAAAATGTCCACCTGTATGGTCTCTCTAAGGTCTTTCTCAGGTCTCTTTCTTTGGTATCTCTCTGGTGTCTGGAGTCTGTGGTCTCTCTCTTTGAAGTCTCTCATGTTTTTCTGGTCTTTATGGTCTTTCTGGTCACTCTCTGGTCTCTCCTCTGGTCTCTCCCTGCTTTCTCTGATCTTTCTCTGGTCAATTTCTGGTCTCTCTCTGGTCTCTCCCTGGTCTCTCTCTGATCTTTCTCTGGTCTCTCTCTGGTCTCTCTCCTGTCTCTCTGGTCTCTCTCTGGTCTCTCTCTGGTTTCTCTCTGGTCTCTCTCCTGTCTCTCTCTGGTCTCTCTCTGGTCTCTCTCTGGTCTCTCTCTGGTCTCTCTCTGGTCTCTCTCTGGTCTCTCTCTGGTGTCTCTCTGGTCTCTCTCCTGTCTCTCTCTGGTCTCTCTCTGGTCTCTCTCTGGTCTCTCTCTGGTCTCTCTCTGGTCTCTCTCTGGTCTCTCTCTGGTCTCTCTCTGGTGTCTCTCTGGTCTCTCTCCTGTCTCTCTCTGGTCTCTCTCTGGTCTCTCTCTGGTCTCTCTCTGGTCTCTCTCTGGTCTCTCTCTGGTCTCTCTCTGGTCTCTCTCTGGTCTCTCTCTGGTCTCTCTCCTGTCTCTCTCCTGTCTCTCTGGTCTCTCTCTGGTCTCTCTCTGGTTTCTCTCTGGTCTCTCTCCTGTCTCTCTCTGGTCTCTCTCTGGTCTCTCTCTGGTCTCTCTCTGGTCTCTCTCTGGTCTCTCTCTGGTCTCTCTCCTGTCTCTCTCTGATCTCTGTTTTATCTCTGCTCCCTCTCTGATCACTCTGGTCTCTATGGTCTCTCTATGGCTTCAACTGTTTTTGCAAAGAGTTATTACTACAAAAATAATCCAGGATTATCAGTTCCTATAAACGTACGACCTCCCACTTTGCATTTACAGTATGTTTATTTGTGTCAAAAAAATGATTCCAAATGTACATGGAAAAAAAATATCTGTGAATGGTGATATTGGAATGTAACTTAAGTTATCATTTTGGTAAATCATATGTGGCTATGTGCTGAATGCTCTGTATTGTAATTCACTTTAGCTTCAGGAAGACACCGGGAGGTCTGGGGAGCTCATATGCTAAGTGTCTTTTGTTGTGTTGGTTTCTTCCTTTCCCATCTGCATACGAAGGTGTGTCTTGCTCTACCAAAAGGGGCTTGCCATCTGTGAATCTTCGGACTTGTCCTGAGAGAGGCTAGGGTCTGTGCCTTGCCTCTGTCAAGACATTCTCCTTGTACAATGTAACAAGTAAAAGATTAACTTTGTCTCTTTGTTGTATGAGATTTCATCAGGTTCAACTGTAGCTGAAACAGCATTATCAATGGTCACCTGTCTGAGCTCTGTGTTTATGGGCTGCCCGAGTCCTGACAGAGGCGCAAACTGGATCAGGTACCCGCTGACCGGACCAGAGGCTGCCGTCCATCGGAACCGCAGCGAGTCCGCGGTCTGCCCAGTGAACTGAAGGTTGGATGGACCGGAGAACGCCTCTGAAACCAACCAGAGAAGCAAAAATGAGATTACTGTATTGTTCTAAATATGTCTCAATCCCACATCCGTATAAACTTACAAAACACATTTGTATGAAAATCTGCTACTAGAGATGGGTGTAAATTATTGGCCAAATCTTTGGTTTTGGAATCTACTGGAGATAAGACAGGGATAGGAAGTGGGACGGCTTAAACCCATCTCCAGAGAGACCAGAGAGACCTGAGTGACCAGAAAGAAACCATAGCAAGACCAGAGAGATACCTGAGTGGCCAGTAGGAGTGTGACGATATATTGATATGGTGATGTATCGTGATACTTTCTCACGCGATCAATTATCGATATGCTTTTGCCAAGTATCAATTTAAAAAATAAAAGAAAAATAAAAGAAAAACTTAATTAGTATCAATACTTAATATGGCTACATTACGCATCTCCATTCCACTTATCATGAAATAAAGTGTATTTTTTCACTTAACATTTTTCTTTTATTCATGCCATAAATAATCGTAGGTATATTTCTGACCAATATATCGATAATCGTCATATTGTGAGCTTTGTATCGTGAGGTACCCTGAGGTTCCCACCCCTAGTGGCCAGAGAGAGACCAGAGAGAGACCAGAGAAAAAGACCAGAGAGGAATACCAGTGAGAAGACAACAAAGGAACCAGAGAGGCCAGAGAGAAACCAGATTGAGGCCACAGGGACAAGGGAGACCAGAGAGAGACTAGAGAGAAACCAGAGAGACACTAGAGAGAACAGAGAGAGTCCAGAAAGAATCCAGAAAGAGACCCGAAAGCAACCAGAGAGACCCCAGAGAGACCAGAGGGAGACCAGAGAGAGACCAGAGAGAGTCACATACTTTCTGTCAGGACAAACATCATGGATTATTAAGGGAATAAAGACAGGTCACCCAGCTTTAACTCTAAATAGTATCAGTGTTTTGACATGAGTTGATGTTTGCCTCCTACTCAGACAGATTTAATAGTTGACATGTTTTTGTGACTTTGGGAGAGCGGTGTCAGAAGGTGGGAGTTGGCGCACATACCGTCGCTGGCAAAGACTCCTCCTGCTTTGGAGCACACTCTGGGGCCGACGATGGGGAGGAGGCTGTTCAGGAGCTTGAACTCTCCCACAAAGGAGGTGAAGTCTGCGCTGGGCTCCGACGAGATCTGGGCCAGCTCGTTCCGGTCCGCGCTCTTGACGCCTGCCATCCAACACACATGAATATGACATTAGCGCTGACTGAACTGTACATGGAAATCAAAGCTAAATAGCAGATAAAACACTGTGATCTGGTCTCTCTCTGGTCTCTCTCTGGTCTCTCTTTGGTCTCTCTCTGGTCTCTCTCTGGTCACTCTCTGGTCACTCTCTGGTCTCTCTCTGGCCTCTCTCTTATTGCTCTCTGGCTTATCTCTCTCTGGTCTCTCTCTGGTCTCTCTTTCTGGTCTCTCTCTCTGATCTCTCTCTCTCTGGTCTCTCTCTGGTCTCTCTCTGGTTTCTCTCTGGTCTATCTGGTCTCTCTCTGGTCTCTCTCTGGCCTCTCTCTGGCCTCTCTCTTGCCTCTCTCTGGCCTCTCTCTGGCCTCTCTCTGGTCGCTCTCTTGACTCCCTCTGCTCTCTCTCCGGCCTATCTCCGGTCTCTCTCTGATCTCACTCTCTGGTCTCTCTCTCTAGCCCCTCTGATCTGTTTCTGTCTCTCTCTGGTCGCTCTCTGGCCTTTCTCTCCTTGGTTTCTTTCTCACTCTTGTCAGTCTCTCTCTTCTCTCTCTAGTTTCTCTGGTCTTTCTCTTTGGCCTCTCTTTCTGGTCTTTCTGGTCTCTCTCCCTGCTCTCTAATCTCTCTAGTCTCTCTCTCTCTGCTCTTCTCAGATCTGGTTGTGTCTCATCCCTACATCTCAGCTGTTGGTCTCCCTGCCTCCCCTGCTGCTACTGCTGTAAACAAATAAGTTAAATGTCTTCAGCCTCCTGCCTCTGCTTTAAGGTTCTATCCATCGAAGAAACACATGATTTCATACCGACAGCAAACACGTGCACTCCTTGGCTCCTGAGTTTCTGTGCCGGGTCCTGAACGCTGTCTTGAGATCTGCCGTCGGTGATCAGAATCGTTATCTGTTCATTTGGAAGAAAAACATTTGATTATTATTAAACCTCAGGTGACACATCAACTGTCTGTAGGCAGCCTGTTGCAATGTCCCATTTTTCAAGCTTTCCTGAAAGCTGTCTTCTTCTCATTAGTAAAGTAAATTTTTGCATACTTGTGAGAAAGAGCCTTGGCACTATTTGACTCTTTGGGCTGAGAGCTGAAAGGCTGAGCAAAACTGGTCCTCTTACACTTACAGTATCTGTCTGAAGTCGTGACATGTGACAGAGGTCAAATTAACATGATGCAAACTGTTTTAGAGCCAGGAACTATATGGATAGATATGATTACATTGATCCATTAAGATGATGTGAAAGTTAGGTGCTCAAGCTTTAAAATCTGGAGTCTGTGGTCTCTCTCTTTGAAGTCTCTCCGGTTTTTCTGGTCTTTATGGTCTTTCTGGTCTCTCTCTGGTCTTTCTCTGGTCTCTCTCCTGTCTCTCTCTGATCTCTGTTTTATCTCTGCTCCCTCTCCGATCACTCTGGTCTCTATGGTCTCTACTTTTGAGTTGTAAACTAACTAACCGACAAACCCTGGCAAGTACATCACAGTACTTTCTCTATGGTTAAGCGTATCTTTGTGCTTATTCAGGACACACTGGGGCCTTTTTGCAGAGGAGGTTTCTGATTTTTTATGGGTTTGGTATAACCGTGATGTGAGTGATAAGTGAACTGTTCAACCTCTCCCCCCCCCCATAGCTCACTCCTCTCCTCCCCCCCTCCAAACCCTCACTCAATCTTCTCTCTCCTCTTATTTCTCTCGCTTCTCCTTTCACTCCTCTCCTCGCAGTCTGTTTTTGTTCTGGTCAGAGGATCTTAACAGACCTCCTCTCATGTTTACTAACCGCTTCTGCCACGGCTTAAACCCCCATTTTATATATTGAACATGTTTGTCTTGAATCACTTAAATAACTCACACAAACAGACAGTTGAATAGTAATGTTCTCTCTAGATCCACGCCGTCTTTACCTTTGGGACGTCCCGGCTGGAGGCAGGGTTGAAGAAGTTATCAGACACAAACTTCAGCCCTGCTCCTGTTCGTGTGTTTCCTCCTTTATAATTTAGATTCTGCACCGCGTCGAGCAGCTCCGAGCCGTTCAGGTACGAGGTGAAGGTGAACTCCACCCTGAGGGAAGCCAAGAGACCACCACTTATGCAGGTTACATTATGAATGACATGTAATGAGCCTGTATACTGTGGCACGGCATTCCTTCACAAGTGCCTCTTCCTCCAGACTCTCACTCCTCTTCGTCACACCTCTCTCTCTCCTCTCTTCTACTCTCTCCTCCCCAAACTCTCACTCCTTTCCTCTCCAAAATCTATTCCCTCTCTTATCTTCTACCCTCCCCTCTCTCCCCTCTGCTCTCCAAACTCTCACTCCTCTCATCTCTCTCCTTTCTAAACTCTCTCCCCTCTCTACTCTTCTCCCCTTTTCTCTCTTCCCCCCTCTCCTCTCTAAACTCTCACTCCTTTCCTCTCTCCAAAATCTCTTCCCTATCTTATCTTCTACCCTCTCCTCACACCCTTCTGCTCTCCAAACTCTTACACGTCTGATTTCTCCCTTCTCAAAACTCTATGCCCTTTTCTCTCACTCCACTTGTCACACCTCTGTAAACTCTTTCCCCTCTCTTCTCCAGACTCTCACTCCTTTCCTCTTTCTCAATCTCTTCCCTCTTTTATCTTCTACCCTCTCCTCTCCAAACTCTCACTCCTCTCATCTCTCCCCTTTCTAAACTCTCTCCTCTCTCCATTCACCATTATTCAAACCCCGGGGGAAGCATAGAAATGATTACATATATGAATGACATGTTATCAGGCCTGTATAATGTGACACCGCAGGCTGAGAACCTTTCATTCCTTTACACGAGCCTCACTCCTATCCTCTCCTCACCAGACTCTCACTCCTCTCTGCTCTCTTCTTTCATTCCTTTTCAAGAGGCTGAAAACGCAGCGCTTCAATCATGCATAATGTTGTCAACTACATATTTCTGCGGTTATTCGTTCACGCTATGCAAACTTACAAAAGAATTCTCAAAAAAATGTAATTGGAAGATGCCCAAAAGGACAAAAGGAAAGATAAAAATAGCTATGGAACTGTCTGTTGGTAGATACATTCATAATAATTAGAGCTGTCAAATTATTTTTTTTCATTAATCGCATTTCAAAAAACACATTTGACGCATGTGACTCGCCCATGCATCCCATAATAACACTCAGAATGCAGCGGACACATGCCTGTGTAAGATGGCGACAGAGCAGGTAGGCCCTCTGGGAATCCAAGTTTAAAAAGAATATGTGCGTGACCGTGGGGCACTTGCTGATGTTTGCTGCATGGACTCAAACGGGAGATTGCATCCTCCATGGCCGCAGCGTTCTGACCCGGGGCAGCTGCGGCCACCTCCAGCGGCTGTGAGCGTGAGCCGCTTTGACAACAACACGGCAAACGGCGCGCCGTAACGTGATTATATCCAAACCATACACACACAGAACTATTGTCTGCTTGTTGTGTGCTTGTCTTTGCGTAACCGTAATAAATACACAGCTGAAGCTGGACTATGCAGTGTCCGTGTCTCCTCCCGAAACACAACTAAACTTGCTAAATTAAAGCTGGAGTAACTAATTTCCCTTGCACAACCAGTTCATGTTGGTTGTGCCCAAAAAGAAAATGTTGAGAGCAAATCAAACAAATCAAAGATTTAATGACATCAGACTGTTTTGAAATGTCCCTCATCCCTGAAACAAACAATAGTTTTGGTCTGAGTCACTACAGAAAGACAGAATGTTCCATCCATCCATTTTCTTCCCCTTAATCCATTTCTGAGTCGGGGGGTGGCAGTCAGAGCCGCACCCAATTCACAGAATAGACAGAATGTTAATAATGTTAATGCCATTTGATGTGGATTTATTGTTGTTATAATAAAAAAATACAGTACATATGTACACTATGTTGTCATTCATCTTTACAATCAAACAACAATTTACAGAAATATATGAAAGTTTTTTGCGGATCGAAATGAAATTTATTACGATTAATTAATTTTTAAGCTGTAATTAACTCAATTAAAAATGTGAATCGCCTTGTTTATTCACTCCATACACAAGCAGGGCTTGGCCTGGTTAGTCCTGTGATGGGAAACCTGTGGTAACACTAAGTGCTACAGTGGGGCGGCTGTGGCTGTGACTCTAAAGCATGGCTGGATTGGGACCAAAAAACTGCCCAGTCATTTCTGCCTTCTTGATGGCCCTGCAGGGGGTTTTGTTCACGTTTTTCATGGTTATTTAAACGGTATGCGCAAGCACATTCTGTAGAGCACATGTGTCAAAGTCAAGGCCCGCGGGCCAAATCCGGCCCGCGAATGAATTATCTATGGCCCCCGGGACATTGCCATTGAGGCAATGTATTGACCCCTTAAGCTCGCTAGCCCCCGCCGGCGGGAGCAAACGAGGAAAAAAATACTTCTGTTGGCAATAGCAGATGTATTTTGAACTTCATAAGCCACAAGCTATATATAATTTTAAAGCTTATTTTCTCAGCTATATTTATATGTAAGTGTAAACGATATCAGATATCAGATATCAGAAAAAGATATAACGCATAATATGGGCACAAAATAAATCACGTCTGTATTTGTTTTTTACCTTTCATCTTCTGCTGCTCCAACAAATTAGACTTTCCCCATCCTTGCTTAGTCGCTTTCTCTCCGTAACTGTCTATTGAAGAAGAATATCCACTTGTATTTCCCAAAGTATAATCCATTCTTCAGATTTAATCAAAAAACGCCCCGAAAAGAGGTCCAGACTGCTCTTTTACATTTCACCAAGTTTGAGCTTTTTTGTTTTTTTTTTACTATTTTCATGTTCTCAGATGTCTATTACATCTAATATGTACAGTATGAGGATTGGCTTTAGAGCATATTTTATCCAGCCAACAGGTGTCACTGGCACTGCCTCTGGATGTTGAGAAACATTGAACCAGTCCGGCCCTCGGCGCGTAGCAAACATTTTTTTTTGGCCCTCTGATGTATTTGACTTTGACATGCCTGCTGTAGAGGATATCAGTTTCAACTATTAAAATAAAGTGCAATAGTCTACGTCCCAAGAGAGTCATAAACATGTCACTACTCAGTGAGGGAGATGGAAACTATTGCTTGCTACAGGGATGAGAGTAGGACATTTCAAAAAAGTCTTAAATGCATTATGTGCAATGGCTGTCATTAAATTTGTTTGATTTGCGGCTACGCGTTCGCCGTAGCGGCCGCAGCTTCCCCAGAACGCTGCACCCACGGAGAATGCGGAATCCCGTTTGAGTACATACAACAAACAACTGCAAGTGCCGCGCGCCCCCCTCAAAACATTTCTCAACGGGTTTACACAGTTTAGGAAAATGTTTTTTGTATGAGGCAGACAGGCCAACCCAAATATGCTCATCAGCTTTTTGGTATGGCACATACTGGTTGCCTAACTTCTGTCAGTGTGCCCCAGGGCACACTGACACTGTATATATAGTGTATATACTGTATATACACTGTATATACAGTATATACATATAATGATTTCTAGCTCGTAGTGTGAAAGAAACTAGTTCAGAATTAAAATTGTGAACTTTGAACTTGAACTGTTAACTTCAAGCATGTATGAACTGAACTGGCACAACTCTGGTTTGGAGTGAATGAATAATGACATGAGAAAGCGATGTATAAACCCGATTATTATTCAAAAGATTTTCATGACCTTGATTTCACCGTATTGACATTTCTCACATCTTTTCCAAAAAATCTTCACCTTGAAGTGTCGCTGTATTGCACTGCTCCAAACCGGATCCCTGAAGATCCCACTGCGCTGACGAAAGGCTTCACGATCCCGGCCATAAACCCTTTCACTTGGAGGAAGTTTGCTCGACCGATACTCGACGACCCGTCCACCAGAAACACTATATCTGCCGCTTGGACATTATTGCACCTCCCTGCATCAAAAACAATGGATTAACAACATTTAGATTGTGGTGAAAAATGTATTCTGTTCAGTGCAAACGCAAATAACTCAATATCTGTTTTCTTGTTGAGTTTACTCTGATAATTCACATCTGAGGTTTATGTTACTCTACTATACTATACTATTATTTCTGCTATTTTTTTACTCTAGTCTTTTGTATTTTAATAATTGAAGTTGTGTGCCAGGAGCTCACCAGTCATGTGGTCGCCTGTTCAGAGAATCATTAGTTATTGTCCTGTAATAAGGTACAGGTCCTTATTTTCCTCAATTATTTTTGTAATGCCATTGAATAATACGAGGGCCTGAATCGTAATCTTTCGCGGAATCAAATTGCAATAGTTGATGTATACGTTAAAAATGGCAAAAATATTTCATTGTGCCAAATATTGCTGTACTATCGAAACGTCACATTTTTGACAATTCCCACCAATAATTATAGAGGGCGCTAGCGATTGAGTGTGGTTTACCCTGAGCTTCAGACTGCTCCACACCGAACAGGAGCAGGAGTGTGGCTGATAAAAAGCAGCTCCACATCTTTGAGATCTAAAATAAACACAAACACACATTAGTAATGGAGGGAGCTGACTGATAAATGTGTTTAATCCCTTCAGAAAGTGGAGAGTAAAATATGTACTGAGCTTTAACTACGGTACATAACTTTCAAACCACAAAACTAAAAGTTCCCTCTCACAAAAGCCCCATTTCCACCAGCCTGACTTGACCCTACTCCACTCTACTCTACTCTACTCCCTACCCTACCCTACCCTACTCTACTCTACTCTACCCTACCCTACTCTACTCTACTCTACCCTACTCCCTACCCTACCCTACTCTACTCTACTCTACTCTACTCTACTCTACTCTACTCTACTCTACTCTACTCTACTCTACTCTACTCTACTCTACTCTACTCTACTCCACTCTATTCCACCTGTTTGCGTTACCATTACGCTTCTAGCATCAAAATAAACCAGTAACCGGGTAAATTCCTTGGTAACCTCGTCTTCCAGCAGCACTCTGACCATTCACTGTTGGTTTGAACACTTTAGTACCAGCTCGGCCTGGATAGAACCAGGGCCAAGAGAGACTAAAGAAGGACCTGACCTGGTTAATATCGGGATAGAGTAGGGTAGAGTCGAGTTGAGTAGAGTAGACTCGAGTCAAGGATGTTATGGCTGGGTATAGTAGAGTTGAGTAGACTTCAATTGGTTTCAGATTTGTAGGACTCCCCAAAATATGAAACTGCTAGAACTCCATTTTGACTGTGACCCTTAAAAACAATGAGATTCTGAGAAAATCCGTCCAAAAGATCTTCAGCTTTTCATCAGATTTATGAACAGTAATTAACTTATAAGGTTAGGGTTGGGGTAAATAATTGCAAACTGGTGAATATATAACTTGCAAAAACAGTTTGTTGACAAGCTAATGCTAAAGACCAACTGCTAACTGCTGAAAGTCATCTCTGGTGGAAAACCAAGCTGAACCAGGACCAGTCCAAAACCAATCCAGGACCAGCACCTTGAAAAAAGCCACCAAAAATGCATTCCAGAAATAAAAGATAAGTTAATAACAAATATGACATAGTAAACAAACTACAGAAACAGAAAAAGTCACAACGTTTGGAAAACCCAATACATGAGGAATTACAAAGCCGTCAAATCGACAGCTCTGGGAGTTGCAGTGTTACTAACTGATATGGAACCTGTGATTTAGGAAGGTTAAACAGCACTAACCAACAGTAGTCTGCATTGGAATCTTCCCTAACTGTTTTATAAGACGTCTATAAATACATTTATGGTCATTTCAAATGTTAATAAAATTATAAATAAATTACAATGATCCAAACTCACAAATATGGTCCTAAAGTCCCAACGACCGACAAGTCATTTCTTCATTCTGGAGGAAGAAGAAGCATCAGCTGAACATAAATATAAAGTTGTGTTTCATTAATGCCAGTTTCATTCAGTCATATTTCAACAACACTTAGTTTTTTTATCTGAATCTGCGACCCACAGTGATGCACAAAGGCTCGAACATGAGTCTGTCTCTTGTTAGCAGTGGTATGCACTCCGCGTATGGAGGCCTCATGGGCAAAACGGCATGTTCTCTTTTTAATAAAGTGTGCTGATAGCATTTAAAATCAAAGACGCACATTCACACGTGCTTCTGTGCAGATACTTGTAAGAAAGAACCCTGTGAGTCACTATTTGAGTCTTTGGGCTGAAAGCTGATTGGCTGCTTGAGGGTGGTCCGGTATTTTTCCCTTTTCTGTTAGAAAAATCTGATCTGACAGAGGCCAGAAACACATGATGTGAAAACTAGTGATAGAACCTTCTTTAAGAGAGAATAACTGATGGATTTAAAAAACAATGAGTACATTTACATTTTGACCGTTTTGAAAGTTAGGTATCCCAGCTTTAATAAATAGGAAGGTATATAATCTTTGCCAGATAGATAATCACTTTAAAATATGTGCTAGGAGTGAGAGACCAGAGAGAGACACCAGATAGATTCCAGAGCATGTATTAACATTTATAGTCAGTGGTCATCCCACTCCCTAAAGACTCTCTTATGTGTTTGTTATTATTGTAGTTCCTGAGTCTGTTGTTGAGGAATTGATAACTTTGAAATGGAATTGAAAAGTCTGCAGAGACGACTGCTGTTGTTATTTAGGGAGATACAAAAATAAATTGAATTGAAGTCACTAGCATTTCTACGTCCATGCAAAACTTAGGGAATATTGCAGGCAAAACAACAACTAGAGGGATCAGAGCAAATATAAGAGGTTCATATTTTGACAGTGCCTCTTTATTGATGAGAGAAAGAGATCAATAAGAGACAAGAGAGAGAGAGCAGAGCGGGAGAGACCAAAGAGAGAGCGATAACCAATACAGACATGTCACACCTCATTTTAAAGCTCAGCACAGCCCAAATCCGGTCACTCTGTGTTGTTGGCCGCTGGACTAAAGTGGCCCGTTTACTATAAAGTTTGGACACCCCTGATTTAGAGGGACCCAAGCCAACAATCACACATGGTGCACAGAGATACAAGAGAGAGAGACCAGAGAGAGGGAGACACCATGAGAGAGACTAATGATCTTCTGTGTAAACAGTTGTCATTCAGACAAATTCAGTTCCGTCAAATGTGTTCCATATGTCAGCTATTGAATATTTTAGTATTCAAATATTCCATATCAATATATATATATATATCAATATCCCGAATAAATCATATTTTTATGAATCAAGGCTTAATTATAAATATACAAAAATCAAATGACCAACCAATTAATAATGATGATAATGATATTTCTTGCACTAGAATACACCATATTTTATACAGTATTTTATATTAGCTTCTTTATTATGTTAAAGTTGGAGGAACGGTAAGAAATTGAAACCACATTTGGAACAATGAACCATTACATTTGTCCACTAGATGTCAGTTACAAGCTAGTTTGAGCTTAGAAGCTTCGACACGTTTGAAACAGGCACAAGAGCCTCAATAATTGTGTTTCACCCATAGACTGTAAAAATCTCCGCCGTTCTAACTAATGGGCCAATAGTGCTCTACTGGAGCTATCCAAAATGGCCGCGAGTGGTCCCGCCCACAAGAAAATTGTGAAAAAACGCATTGACACACATGTGGAACGGAGCTTTGGGCCAAGAGCCAACTTTTGGTCCATCCTGTAAAGACGTTTTCGAGAGGTCTATGCTATTTGTTAGCATTGGCTAATTCTTATTCCGGGTCCACCCCCATCGGCCCGGGGTGATATTAGAACTATGTCCGCGAACAAGATTTACAAACACGAGCAAAGTAAAGTAAACACTTTTTGGGCATCACATAAAGAATCTGTGCGAAACGTGAGCCCAGAGACCAGAGAGAGAGTCCAGAGAGAAAGAAAGACCAAAGAGAGGGTCCAGAGAAAAAGAGAGCGATGGTACAGAGAGATATAGTCAAGAGAAAGAGACCAGAAAGACTGTTTCAGTAGAGAGAAAACAATGCTTCTACAAATTAGGAATTGTTTGTTGAAGTGATTGGAAATCCCCAGTAAAATTATATTGTCTATAAACATCTGCATTGGTCTTGTTAACAAGCTAACAACAGACACGCGCATTAGCGTGTACAGAAGCCTCTGGAACAAACCGCTGCCAGATGTGAAGCCAAAGCACAGCCTCTGATTTCACTTCAGTTCAAACCTATAGGAAACAAAATATCAACAGGAAAACAACAGTCCTGGATGATTAGAGGAAGTGGGTCACGTGAAGAGCACTGATCTGTGACATTCGTTCGTCTCCTGATGGAGACCGGACGAGCTCTCTCTGCTCCACTCATCTCCAATTCAACAAGGGCTGCATACAATTACATGTATGATTGTTTAGAAGTATATATTATGATTCTGTCATTTCATCTTTCAAGATATTTTAAAGCAGAGGTAGGGTAAATATAGACCAAACAGAAACGGGAAGTGTAAATTAGCATCACATCCGCTTGTTCTGACTATGACTAATGTGCTTTTCAGACCAGATCTGCTTTCAATGCAAAGTCTATGGTGGAGCGCGTTGCAGCGTCACAACGGACAGACCTCTCAGCACGCACGGACGGACTGTTCAGTAGAGACGCACGGACTTGGCGGGAAAGTCAAAGGGGAGGAGCAGGAGCGAAAAATCGACGCCCACAGAAGATGGATTCTGCTCATCCTTTCCTTGGGACGTTCGTGCGACAACCAATCAGAGAGCAGCAAAGTGGTCACGGGGACATTAGCGGACTGAGCGAGCAGACTGAAAATACTGTAAACAGCCAAAACAGGACCCACACCAGGCTTCACCAGAACTCAAACCAGGGTTGACAATGGGGGACTCTGTGCTTGTGAATATATGCGTTGTCATGCTCCTGTGACCTTATGCAACTGCTTCGAGTGTGTTCGCCGATGCGGAAATACCGTTTAATAATATGGAAACACGTATGGCGCACCTCCGTGAACACATACTACTGTTATATAAAGCCCGTGGAATGTCTCTGTTCAAAGACACGCTGCAAAGCTGCATATTGGAGAAGATCTGTACACAAGAAGCCGCTAGCATAGCTCTGTTAGCATCAGAGCCGGTCGGCTACTTCCGGTCCGCGTCAGGACAACTCGGTGTGAAGACCCGTGCGTCTGAAAACTAGAGAATGTCTATTGTTACATTGGCGCACACAGCTAGATACGGACCTGCTCGTCACGTCGTGCAAATAGGGCTTAAAATAGCGTTATGAAGAGACCTCCCCTCTCCCCTTTTTCTCTTTTTTAACCGACAGCTTTGACCGGTTAACGCTGTGACGGTCAACCACCGGTTAAACGGTCACCGATTTACATCCCTAGTGCCCCCGCCCTCCCTGATGGACTCCCCCATCCCCTCTGTGGAATCATTCCGATGATCCTGAAGCAACTTTTTCACAATAAAAAGATCACATTCCACAGAAGATTAATAAAACATTCTTCTAAACCGCAAATATTTCATGCTGTTTTCAAAGTAATTTTGTAATTTTGACA